GGTTGTAAGCACGTTGGTAGACGATATATAAACACGTAAACTTGATTTGTGCAATGGTTTCTCGCGTTATTTTTTTATTCATTTATATTTCATTCATTTTTATAGGAAGACGATTCTTTATTATGTCTTATTTAAATGATAATTGAGAGAATAAATTGCTTTTTAATTTACATAGTAAAACACTGTTTAAATGAGCTTTATGGGCATATATATTTTAAAAGGGCAGTCAGTCATAGCAGTAATGAGAACGTTTTACCTATCTTTTAAACTGTAGCTCTTGTAGATTTTAGAATATATTTTTCTACGCAACAGTTTGTTAGTTACTGTAGAACAATCGCTGCTAAAGCAGACTTAGTAGACCTGTTTTCTTTTTTTTTTTTACAAAACCACTCTCAAGGTGCACGAAAAGAGAATTCATTGTACGGCATCCGCCATTGTAATGTATAAATTGTTCGCTATATCCGTTTAACTGTTATGTAACAAAGATTTACATTAAACTCTAATCAGTAATTAGTTTAATTTGTCTTACGTCTTTATTATAAAGTCATTGATGCAGATTTTAGTATTATATTTTTTTTGCAACGGTTGATAAGGGAGCATTAATGACATAGGGCACTACACATATGTTTATCTGTATATAATATACATTGTCAATTAGTTGCTTTGGTTTGTGACAAGACAGAAAAACTATGATGATTTTCACTTTAAAATTTTTAACGTTTCACCGATTATTATCAATAGTCGCTTGAAGTGAGGACACCGTCAACCAAATCAAAGAGAAGTACAATTAGAATGACAATAAAAGACGAAGAACACAACAACATTACAAACACAAAAATGACCCAGTGAAAATAACGTACATCTTAAAATTAAAAAACAGCATCTAGACATGGAAGGAAGACTAGCACACGGATGTTACCAAACCTTGAAAAATGGCTGTCTTTACCAAAAGCCACCCTCAAAGATACACACGACAGAGAAGAATATTACTTGACAAACATCACTCACCCAAAAGCTGGACTGTAAACACGACTGAATTAAATTATTGTTATTTTTTATCTTAAATAACTTATGTATTATAAATTAAAACATTAGTCAGACAAGCAGCGCACAACTGACAAATCTACAGAAAATCTAACATCCACCACCACACCCGCCAGCTTTCCCCACACACAGACTAACGGAAGACATTAGAGTAGGTCAGCCAGTACACAACACACCAGGTAAGACGACGATTTAGATAAAGTCTTGGTGAAGGAAAAAGAGAAGACAAAACTACAAGACGGGACAAACTCTCTAAACAAATTCATGAAAAACTGTACACAGCTGAGCGACAGTGACTGACTTGAACCACAATTTAACAGAAGACTCGATCTTAGAGACGTTAAGTATAATACTCAAAGGGAGATAATAATTAAATATATTACTTGTACAAGATTTATTAGGTAGTTTCCCCTTTTATTAAAAAATACATTATTGCAGTAGACAGATAATAAACATTTTAAAATATATAGATAGACTATTCCTCTTACAAAATCTGCTTCTTAAAATCAACATGTCTAATACACCGCCGAAGAATTTTATTAGACTGAGGTATCTGTTATAGTTTTATATAACTCGAGACCTGAATACTTTATTTCACCGTCTTCAACATGTAAGGTCCGATGACATTTTCAACAACTGTTTTTTTAGTCTGCTGACCACCCATTTGACGTTATTCGATGCTTTCATTAATGATGGGCTCTATGAAAACTTCCTGTTTAATAAAGCCTTTGATGTTTCAGCTAAAATAACTCTAAAGGCTCTATACTGTATTCTCAATTATCCGTCTCTATGGGAAGTTTGTGTTTTGGAAGATAATGAGACTTACAACTGTGAAAAATGGTGTTTAATAAAAAAAAAACTGATCAAATTTTAAAAACTCAATAAAAATTTTAATTCAGACAAACGGTATGTCATGGTGAATTGTTATCGATAGGGAGATAAGTGTGGACCCTATGATAATAGATGATAGGCCTTTTCTAAAAAAATAAACAAGACAATGCTATTTGAAAAAAAAACTGTGTCATTATTTAGATGAAATTTGTTTTTCTTTAAGTTTCTATCTGAATCTATTATTTTTGTCGATCGACACAAAAAAGTTAATTTTGTTCTTTTTAATATTTTTTCTACCTGGATAACCGAGCCATAAAAAATGATACGCCAGGTTTAACAATAGCATTAAAAAACTAAAATCTGTTTAAGGGATGTAACGGACGAAATAAGCCAATTATTATGAAGGGCGATATTGTTATTTACAAAATACTAAAGAGACATGCAACTTTAATATTATTATGACCTGCATTACAGTTGTTGAAACTGGTATTAAAAAATAAAGCAAGGTGACAACACAATTATGACTATTGGTTAGGCTATAATTCTTTAATACAATACATAAAAAGGCTGAAAGAAATTACTGACAAAACATTTATGACTCAGCAATCTCTGTCGACAACAAAAACACATCGAAAAAAAGGAAAGACAATTTCGCTAATTTTTTAGAAAAATATCTAAATATTTAGTATCAAAATTTTAAAATATAAGTATGTTTAATGACGCGTGTAATGACTATCAATATAAGTCCTTATTTTCTGATATGTTGAAAATGTTTTCAGACACTAATCTATATTTACACTTTAATAAATGCAAAAAATTGTAAAACTTGTTGATATTAAAAAATAATATTGTTTTTCCTTGAAATGCTAGTAATTATGAACTTTAGTCTTGAAGGGAACAAGAATAATGTGAACATTTCAAATCATTCCATCCAGTGGCTAAAAATAAAACATCTCCAGTTTTCATCCGAACCTCAAAAGTCCCTGAAGATTCGGCAGATTTATCTTGTGTCGTAACAACACCGATTTTTTCCTGTTAGTTTTATTGTGAGATTTACTTTATACAGGCCATCAACAGGGCTGGTAAACACTCCAGTGTTTGGATCAAAGCGGTTTCCTACGTTGCGTTTTACACTTTTAAATGTAATAGCATCGTTTCCATTGCATTGTTTCCCGTCCCAACGACCTAGTGAAGCAACAAACCCCAGTGTAGAATGATTCATTTGTTGATTGGCTGCAAGAAATAAAATACAATAGGTATCTACACATTACCAAGTACTTATTACTAACTTATTTTTAAAAAAAACTTGTTGTTTGTAATTAGACCAAATTTTCGCAATAGTACTGTGCCGAATCCAGCGACTCAGCTTTTATACATACATTTAAAAGATAAAATTTCATGAAAAATATATTTTCTAACTCGATTTCTAAATAAAAATTAAGGATTACATTTGTATATTGAATACACGTAACCCACAAGAGACACCAAATCATGTACATTATGGACCAATTATTTGTTCAGAAATTTGAGGTCAATAAAAGGGTAGGATAAGCCCAAAACAGATGACTACTTTTATTCTATCTTTCTCGCACTTTTGGCTAACATTGGTTAGACAATTTTTTTAGGTGGGTTGTTTCCCTTGCTTAAGTAATTGAAAATGTCTCCTGCAGTAAAGTCCATTACATCTCTGATATGGGCTAATAGAATAAAACAATGTGAATCTACATTTAATGATTAATACGGAAATTGCATACTTCTACATAAAAACAATGAAATAAACAAAGCACATAAACTGTGTAACTTGATTTTTTTTAATTCAAAGGCTTTAGCTGTAGACGATTAACTTGAGATATAAAATCCTTAAACAAATAAAGATATAAACGTCTTTTTAAAATATGTTTATTAAGAACATAATCAGGAAATATTCGCAGAGTATCAAGATGTTTATATGATCTATTGTGTAACTTTACTTTGAAGCATTCACAAAAGAATCGAAGGCTCGAAGTTACACCATTTTAGATGAAAAATTAAACTAACAACTCACAGAAAAAGTTAATCACATTAACATATTTATTAAACGCAGTGTTTTCTGATAAACTATAAAACACTTGTAACTTTTACATGTTTATATTGTATATTTATATTGAAAATAAATAATCTACCAATAGATTGAAGATCCCGTGATAGCTTTAAAACTTCTTTTTCCAGAGTTTCAATCTAAGAACAGAACAACAGTTACAGAAATACATGTGTCACGAACTAATAATTTGTCTCAATCCATCATCTTTTTGTTTTAGTTTGCGCACTTAACTACAATAACTACAAGTACTTTGTCACATAGTACTGATATAAAGGAAGACTAGAAATTTTACTTTACATTTTTAATTTATTACTTTAAATAAATACAACTATTTTATTTAATATTTAAATATTAATAACTTTTTTAAACGTGTGAAACACAAAGATTAAGATTAAGAATTTCATGAGCACTTGTTTTCTAATTAGATTTAATATATTACATTATATTTAGCTAAAAACATTTGAGCTCATTTACCTTTTTCATTTTCTCTTCCCTAATCTCATAGTTTTGATTATATGTTTCAATTATTTCATGAAATGGCATCAATCTTTGTTGTAGAAGCTTACATGTCACAACATGCTAAAGAGAAGAAGTATAAAAGTACTTTTTGGTTTAGCAACCATGAGCTTTACCGACTCGACCACGCCGAGAAATTTTACAATGAATGCATTTATGGTTATATGATTTAAATACAAGTAAAAAAGAAGCTATGGTAGTGTTTAACCAACACAATTTTAAATAACCAGCAGACAGACCTAGACTTTGATGGACAGATGGTAGAGACATACATACAATAGTACAGAGATCAAATGTGTAAAACAAAATAAACAGATAATTTTATACTGGAGAAGGTTGTAAAGCAGACTAAAGCCATTAGAGGCTGTAGAGCCACAGGGGTGTATGTGTAAACATAGATTTTAGTTTAATACTACAAATGTGTTATAACTCAACATTTTCTTAAGGACAAGACAAAAATAAAATTCCTATATAGCCACTAATAGAACTCTAACATAATGCATTAATCTAAATATTATTAAAAATGTACCTTAGACAATAAAGTATCAAATGTTTTTGTTGTATCTTTTTGTATAGCAGATATCAAATCCGAATGTCTTTGAATTTCTTTGAAAGTTATTTGATCTATTTTATCTGTGTAAACTCTCATCTCTTCATTTAGTGTGTGCAGGTTGTTTTCATATTCTTTCATATCTAAAGAGAGTTTCTCCAGTGTTTTGTCTTTGTCTGATTCTTTTGTTTTTAAACTTTCAATTTGTTGATTCAGCTCTTCTATTTTATTATCTTGTTCTATTAATTGTTTTCTTAAGTTTTTAAAATTCTTTTTTTGTTTCTTAGACACGTTTTCAACCATTATCCCTATATCACTGTGTTCTGTTTCAAAGTTGCCTTTCCATTGTTTTATTTCTGATATGTCATCTTCAGTCTTTTGTTTTGTGTCTTGAAGGGATGATAAAACTTTTTCAATATCCTTTAGTCTTTTTATTGTTTCTGGGTTACATTCAACTTTTAGATTGAAATTAAATAAGTGTAATAGGCAAAAGACTAAAAAGAAAACATAATTTCTTTTAATGTAAAAATATACTCCAAGGTATTATATTTTAAATCATAATAAGATAATGTAATTTTACTTGTGCAATTATGAATAATTAAATTATAATTATTGTCATAAAACGTACCAGATCTAAAGGCTTTAGAAACAAATCCAGTGTCTGCTGTCTTCAAACTTTCTGGTGTTCTCTGTTCTCCTGTCATCAGAGTGGGAGGGTACAGCTTGGTGGATTCTGTCAAGATTTTATATACAGAAGTAATTACAGGTCATATACAACTAAATTATTAACTGATAAGTGTTTAGTAAGATATATGCGCATTGACAGTTTTTAATCAAGTTGTCAATTCATAAATTATTTCACACTAATTGTATTTAAATTATAACATTAAACACATTCTATGTGGGTTGCCACTAAATATTAAAATGTACACACTTCAAACAGTCGTTAACGAAGCAACATTATTTTATGCTCGATAAATAAAATAAATTATCTCAAAGTAGGCTAATGCACATACCCGTGAACATATCTGTTTGTTCTATTATAGTACTCTGTGCTGATGTTATCATAGCAAGTACATCTTTCATCGTCATTTGGGTGTCAGAATGGTTGTCTACACATTCCATTGCTTTTATTTTAATCTGTATTATTGGGGATATTATGATAAAAAGCGTTATATAGATGCAAATTGAAAATAATTGAAAAAATTAAACAATTTTAATACAGTGTAGACAAATAGTGGTCTGTTTTACATCAGGAGGCTATGTCCCTTACCACATCTAGTAAATAAAGGCTAGAGTGTTTTGTGCATGTTTCAAATAATACAAAATAGACTTGTATTTACCTGCTGTACAAAATCACTGATGCTACTCTGTAGATGAAAACTTGACTGTTCCAATAACTCGAGCAGGCTAGCTACATGTTTCTTTAAAAGTTGAGACCACTGAGGTAGAAAGATTTTATTTAACTCATATCGAAAGTAGTGTACATGTAGACGAACAATAGAGAAAATAAGAAACTTGCTTAGATCGTCTTTCATCCGGTCGGGGATATATATATATATATATATATATATATATATATATATATATATATATATATATATATATATATATATATATATTATGTTAGAGGATATAAGCACGTTGTGTATGTCCTCTATTGTTGGCGAATATAAGCACTTCCTATATAGAAAAGTGTTACTTTTACTTTTAATAAATAGTAAGTCGTATATTATAATTTTGATATTTCAAAACGTTAAGTTACATATTTTGTTTAAAAACAAAATTATATTGGAACTAGCATAATATTTTATTTAAGAATGGGTTTACTTTTAAGTGTACAACATTAGCGTTCTGCTATTATATTGTTAAGTTATTTTATGAACTCCTCCGAACATATATTATATTTATTGTTATTATATAAATCAGCAGTACCTTTAGGTTGTTTAAAGACGTTTTAGAGACGGGAAATAAAATGGCGATTCTCATTTTTCATTTTAAACTTGTTCAAATAATATCGGGAAAATCCTTTCACTTAAAACTTTAAATCAAAGTTTGTTTTGTTTATGAAGAATTTTTAATTTTTAACTATACACGTTTAGCAAATGTTATTTGATTATTGTAAGCACTTTCCCGAAGTAATTTTAGCCTATATGTTTATAAAAAACGAAATTTAAAAAACCTTAATTTGTTGAAAAACATAAACACGTAATTGAAATTAAAACAATGTAGGTTACTTCTTCCTAAAGAGTATAGGCGTAGGCAATACATTGTCAACTCATTTGATTGTTATGAAGATCCAGTGGCGTAGCGAGGTCGGGTGTCAGGTTGTCAGCCGGTACGGCACTTAATGGTGTTAACCCCCCCCCCCCCCCCCCCATCCCCCTCAGATGCGTAGCGACCCTTCCCGGAGACAAACTTTCAAATTTTCGATTTGCACCCCCCTCAAGTTTTTCTCTATATATTTTACTATTTTGCCTTGGTGTCGCCCCTCTGAATGGTGTCACCCGGTGTGGTCCGCACCCCCGCCCCCCTCCCTTGCTACGCCTCTGTGAAGATCGAACCCTAATAATCCAGCCTCCCAAATCTCTACTTCAAACGATTTCCTTCATGACTTTTTGTGTCTCTTCTCCTCTTTCCTCTTGGAATTTACACCAGCACCTGCTTATTGGTGTTATTTACTGTCTTTTTGATTTTATGCCCTAACCATGATATTGACATTTTGACAACAAAGGATAACCATAATGTGTCTGGCAGGTGGAGACTTGCGATCGACCATAATGACAACACGCATTAAGGGGTGAAGTGGCTGATATTTTTAGATGATGTTTTACGAGGGAAGCTGGTGGATAATACATTTTGTATCTCTGTATATATAAATGATGACAAACATTTAATGTTGTCAAAATTATCTTAGATAAGGCAGAGTGAAGCGTAATTTTTTACATTATGACTTGTTGTGACATTGACAACAAAAATATGACGAAGGTTGGGGTTTAATTAAGGTAAAGAGAAGTAAAAAAAATGTCATAAGTTACGATAGAATCACTAATTGATGAAAAGAAATACCTGAAATGAAAATAGTGAACATTCAAACAATAAGAAAAAACTCAAACTATATAGAAATAGTAAGATCAAATAAACATTAGTAAAAAAAACGTGATTTAATACATGGATACAAGTTGCATCTCACAATGCTTCTAGAATTAATAAAGTTGTTTGTTAGGAAATTCAGTTTTTAAAGGGCAGAATTTAAAATAAAATGATTTGTAATACGGACTATACAACAAGACAATCATATTTAAATACATTTTCATACGAATAGAAATGAAAGGGCAGCTACTCTAAATAACATTTTCTTAAGATGGCTGCTGTTTTTAATAGCAAATTTACTATCTCGAACAGGGTTGATAAAAATTAATTTCAGGATACATAAATTGATTTAACCATAAATGGTGATCTATTATTCAATTATCTATAATATTTTATCAAAATATACGAAAATATACTCGTATTTAATGACATATTCATTGATTCATTCTCTCCCACATTACTACTTTTGGCCGAATTTACGACGCTAAACTAAGATTTTACCAAAAGTATTTCTGGCTAATTAAGCAGTCACTAATGCTAACGCTGAGTTCACTATTTAAAGATCTTAACCAAAAGATATTTAAATTCTGCGATAAACTTTATTGGCTGATGATGCTACAAAGAAACTTTTATTTTTTGACACTGGATGTAGCGTTTAGTATAATAGTATAAATGATAATGTGGTTTCTTTTTGTGAAATGAAACGCTTGGGTTTCAATTTTAGCGATATTCCAAATCCAAACCACAACCCTGACAATAGCACTAACCCTAAATCTAGCCCTAACCATAACACTAGCCCTAACCCTAACCCTAATAGTAACACCAACCCTAATTGTAACCGTAACCTTTTGTGTTTGCGTTGCGTTTGTTTTTGTGTTTCCTTTTTTCTTTGTCTACGTTTGGGTTTGCATTTATGTTATGTTTGCGTTCGTTTTGTGTTTATGATTTGTTTTTGGTTGGTTGTGATTAGGTTTAATTAGAAAAGTAATATATTGTTTTCTTTTAGGTTTTCATTTGTTTTCTATTTGTATTTGCGTTTGTGTTTTTTTTTATTTGTGTTTGGGTTTGTGTTCTTGGTTAAGTTTGAGTTTGTTTATATGTTGATTTCGTTTTTTTTTTTGCTTTTGTGTTTGTGTTTCCTTTGCGTTTGTGTTTACGTTTATGGATGGGTTTGCGTTTGTGTTTGTGTTTTTGTTAGTTTTTGTTTTTGTGTTTGCGCATGCGCATGCGCTTGTGTTAACGTTGCTTTTTTGTGTTTTTGGTTTTGGTTGGTTGTGGTTAGGGTTAATTCGAAAAGTAATACATTTCCTAAACCCGGGCAATGCTGGGTATATGCTGATTACTAAACACACATATCGTGGTCTTTTACAAATAGGTTTTTCACAGAGGACAGGGCAGGGTCTGGCCGTACGGCTACTTAATATTTAAAGTTTGAATCGCGTAACATATATTTAAAAAGCACACTACAAACACAGCTAAAACTGAAATGTTTATTTAATTTTCCTCCAGGCAAACAGCACAACGGCGGGGAATATTTCACAATAATGACATGATTTGCACTTTTGTGACAACTTTTACAAGGTTATGTAAAAAAATATGTTAATTTTCAAAATGCATGTCCATATCAAAATATTTTAACCTTAAAACTAACTTTAAAACTTACCACAAACAACCAAAATAATACAAATACGACAACAAAAACAAAAACAAAAAAAAAAACAAGTAAGAACATGAACATGAACATTAACATTAACATGAACTTGAACGTAATCGTAAACTTTAATGTGAATGATAACGTAAACTTGAACGAGGCTATCGACATGGACATGGACATGGATATAAACATAAACAATAGCAAGAGTTTGAACATTTACATGAGCATCAGCATAACAATTAACACCAATATCAACATTAATATAAACATCAACATCAAATTGCCTTGTGCTTTACTATACGTTGAAGGATACATGTGACAAGGAATAGAAAGATTTAAAAAGCTAAACAAAATCAATGTCTTCTGACAAAAGTTATTTTCATTTCTCAAAACCAAAAGAAATATATACACATTAATCTAAATTTAAAGCTAAACATCTGAGCCCGAACTTGAAATCTTTCTGAAACAATAATTGAACCGGAAACGAAATAAAAACGAAAGTGGAACCGCAATTTTAACAGTGTACTGATGTTAAACTTAAACATATTTGTTTTTTCATATCCTCAAGGGGCGTTGTGTAATTAATATCAGCATCGAATTAAGTTATACAAAAGTTACATCGTTGTTATTTATATAAATTTACATACAACCCATCATAGGCGAGTAAATAAATGAATAATTATATTTATATTATCAGTGTATCAATTTTGAATCCCCGACAGTTTTTTGGTCTAAATATTGATACATCCAAATATCAACGTCATATATGATTACATTTAAACTATCAATTTGCATGAATGTAAAATAGTATCTAGACAATTCAAAGTATCGATTAAAATTGCTATATTGATGCATTGTTAATAGTAAAAGTCGCAATCACCGCGTTTAGATACATTATTTGCTTTAATGAAAAATTATTAAAAATTAATTATAGCGGCAAAAACTTATATAAAATATGTATAGATACAATGGTTTCTGATCAAATACAACCATTTAAAGAAAAAACAATAAAAGTTGAACAATTCATTGAATATAGTCCTGAGAGTAAAAATGTATTCAGAAATCGTGCACACACCAATTGTGTCAGGAAGTAATATGCGACGTGAAGAAGTCACCTGAGTTATATAACAGGCTCGACGTTTTCTTTCTTTACTCTTTCGCACTTGAGTGTTTTTTAAAGATCAATATGGATCTGTTGCATCCAAGGAGACATGTATACAAACGAATGTAACATTATCTAGTTACCTTGTAATATACATCGACTTGGCCGATTCCTACTGTAACGTTATGTTATACTACAGTTCCGGTCAAATTTATTTTTTTATTTTTTTTTATATGTGAATCTTCCGATTTTAGACTATAAAGAAAGGAACTACTTCATTCAAATTTGATTTAGATCTAGATCTATAGATCTACGCTATGAAATATATACACTTTTTTTTGGAGGATGGAAAATGTAAGTATGACACACATAGAAAAAACAATTATTGGAAATTCTCGTGAAAGAAAATATGAATTTCACAAAACTAGATATCAAAATGAATTAAGTGTAATGGGTAACAGAAGGGGAAATTTAAAAAAAACGCATTGCAACTCGCACTACATTAACAACGACAAGCCAAACCGGACACCAACCATCCCACACTCCAACCTTCGCCCTGCTCTTACCAACACATCACATTACATAGCCTAACTTAGCCTAATCCCAACCTCACCTCACTAACTCTACAATACAAAACCCAATCACTCATAGACACGATCCACCACACACATACAAAACACAAGACGGAGTAGATAAAAAACCACAGCCTCGCACACCCCATTATGTATAAAAAAGATTATACCCTACAACGTACATTAAAACCCACAGTCCACTGCCCATACCTCACACCCTTTATCACACGATCCACACCTAACCACTTATCCCACATCTCACACCCAATACACCACAGCCTATTCCACTACACATATAGACCAAACCCCAATCAACTTACCCCACACTCACAACAATCCACACTAAACCATCAAAGGACATGAACAGCACACCAAACAAACCCTATGCGGATGTCACTATCTTATTACCTCGAGGGTAGATGCTATTTGTTTCAATTATAGTATGACTTCAATACTAATTATCGATCTAATGTAGTCCAACTTCAAAGTGCTAATTTCCTCACGTTCGCCACACTCACGTACGATGTTTATTGAAAATGTGTTGTTTTAACGCGAATATTGAGTGATTAACATTTTCTGTAAAATTTTCTATAATCTATATACTACTAAAAGTCAAGTTTGTTTACATGTTTGAATATTTATTTTTTTGTTTGTTTTTTTGTTTGTTTGTTTGTTTGCCTGATCGACTATTGTGATATGTTCGACTCAATCTGGATAGCTGTAAAATAGTATGTAGGTAGAGAATAATTTTTTAATGCAGACAGACTGTTAATCACACATTTATTTAAAGACGTTAATTAATTTATTGATTTATTCATACGCAGAATAACCTATTTTTTTAAAAAAGATGAAAACGACCACTACACTCGGCGGGACCGTGACGTCACAGGTTTTTGTTTACTCTTTAGTACAATAAAATGGCGGCGTCTATCGAAGAAAATTGTGTTCCCATTCAAAAGTTTAACGCGTTCTAAATCTAATTTTCTGTCGGTCATAACTTTAACAATACGTCCGTTTGCTGTATTTATTACGTTCCAACACTTATATCAATTTTAAACTGTCTTTTTTCATTTAGTTTTACAATAAATTTCTCTAGATCTAAAGATCAGCTGTCGAAGGAAAGTTATGAATCTAGCCTAGATCTAGATCTAGCCTAGATCTAGGTCACTAGACTCAATGTAAATTCTAGATCTAGACTTAATGTAAATTCTACATCTAGAATCTATTTCAGGCCTTAATACATCTAGAATCTATTTCAGGCCTTAATTATTTTATATAAATCTTTGTTTGGCTAATTTAAGATAAAATTTATTTTGAAAGTTACTAGATTCTACTACTAGACTTAGATCTAGATCTATGCGCGGAGACTCAAAAGTATAGTATAAAAATTCATTTGTGACGTCACGAGTAAATAGCTAAGTTGATAGCGTAGTTCGCTCTCATGTGGGTGGCACAGGTTCTAGACCAATAGTTCAATGATCTTTTTTTTCAATTTTTTTTTTTTTAGATGTGAATGATAAAGTTGCCTATCTGAACTTGGCAGGATACAGGGCAGGTGAAGTAGAGTTCATCTGTTTCTTTGTCCTAAGCATATGAAAGGATAGTGTGGTCAGAGACATGCTCGGCTGGAATCGTTTTTTAAACGATAAAAACATGTTGTCTGAGACTTGGCGGGACACTGGGCAGGTGAAGTAGAGTTGAGTAGGTCACATGTGACGTCAGTATATGAAGGGATAGTCCGAAATCGGTGTTTTCGGTGTTTTTAAAAGATAAGAAACATATTTTTGAATGTGGGGTCTGTTTTTTGTGACGATAAGTGACACTGCAGGACGGGGGGGGGGGGGGGGGGAAGGGGAGGTGGAGGGGGGGGGGGCGGGGGGGGGGGACATATGTTGGGGCGCCAAAATGGTTTGGAAAAATAAATTGAAAGGTTGAGGGGGGTTCAAATCGAAAGTTTGAGTGGGGGGGGGGGGGGTGCACATCAAAAGTTTGAGGGGGGGGGGGGGTTGAAAATCGAAATCTTGGGGGGGGGGGGGGGTTAAAATCGAAAAATTTGTCCCCGGGCGCCGGGAAGGGTCGCTATGCCTCTGAGTGACAGACGTGATGTTTTTTGATGGATGACCCCCGAAACCCACAGTTATCCAACGGATGACGGGTATTCTAGTAAGTAATAAATGGCGTGTAGCTGCAAGGATAGAAAAGGGAAGCTACCTAAAATTCTTGTACGACCGATATATTTAATTGTTGTCTCCCTTTGACCAGTCTTTTAATAATTTCTAATATCGTGTCTTCTGTAAAACTGTGGTTCAAGTCTGTCACTGTCGCTCAGCTGTCTACAGTTTCTAATGAATTTGTTTAGAGAGTTTGTCCCATCTTTGACCTGCTCTGTCTTCCGATGATGTGTTGGAAGAGGGGACGAGTGTGGTGGTGGTGGTGGTGACGTTAGATATCCCCTGACCTGTTCTGCTTGCCTTGCTGTTTTAATTTGTAATTGATTTTAAATAATTTATTACACGTAAGAAAATTATTGCGTCCACTTTTAACATCATCCAGTCCTTTTTTGGGTGAATGAGATTTTTGTCAAGCAATATTATCTGTCGTGTATACATTCGAGGAGAGTGTTTGGTAAATATAGTCAGCAATTATTTAATAACATTCGTATGACAGTCTTCCATGTCTAGATGCTGTTTTTCAATTTTAAGCTATACGTTGTAATCACTGGGTCTTTTGTATTAGTAATTTTGTTTGTGTCTTTGCCTTTTAATGTGGTTGTGAATTGCAAGTGAATTGTAAGTATGCCTACTTTTCATGGGTTTGACTATCGGCGTTTTCTTTTCAAAGAACTATCTATAAAATCAATGAAACTCAATATATTATTTAAGCGGAAATCAAAATTTGTTACTGTCTTATCACAAACCAATCCCATCAATACAAAATAATGACAACGTATATTATATACAGTTAAATAAATGTCTCCTTATCAACCTATATAAAAGCATAAGGTTTAAAAAAAAATTATCTCCCATTTCAACGTGGATGTAAACCAAGGGATAGTACAAATAAAAAAAAACGGCCACAAAAGAAAAATAAATTTGAAATATTTTTATTTTTAAATTTAACACAGTGCAGATTATTCATGTTACAAATTGTATATCAAAGTAACATATAAAAAGCAATTAAGGATGATACAAGACAATTTATCATTACACATGCATATTTTGTTCGTCCTTTTTTTCACACTTTTTCTTCTTAATTTTCTAACATCTGATAGGTTTATGTTGTATAGCTTAAAACAAGACATATCAATGATACATTATGACACAGACAGATGTATGCATGATGATATATACAGCCTTTTGTTTATAGAATACAAATAAGAAACCTCAAGTGCGTTTTTCTGTAATGTTGAACCATGGCTTCAAACAAAACAACATAATTAATATACAATGTATTCTTTAAGATTAGCATAGAGGTCTAGACAGTTTTAGCTCAGCACTAAACTTGACAAACTATTACAAAATATTTTTAAAAACTTAACGAGTAATCGTGGAACATGTATGAATACAACTATGTTTACATTGAACACCAAAAACAGACCTAAACGTCCATATTATTGTTTGCTGGATAGACCACACCTTATAAATATTGTTTACGCTTTCATTACAGACCAAATACTTTAGTTGATTTAGTTACTAAAACTACAATAACACATTGATCCCTTTAAAAGTCGCCACAATGTTCATAATTTCTTAATTTTAGAAAAGAAAAATAATGTTTTGTAGTTTTAACGTTTGAATGTTGCTCGTGAGCAATAATTGAATTGTAAGATAAGCCACGTTCATTGCTTCTCTTTCTATACCAATCAAATCTATTATTTTAACCTAAATATAAGTTTGAAATATCTTTAATTGATAATATACAATTCAACCTCTATTATTTCCTTTGTTTATAATTATCCACATTGATAATACTGCTATTTATATAGATAAACAAATATCTCTGCTACTTCTATCCCCCATATGTGACGTCAAATACCATGTTTGAGTTTCCTCCCCTCGATGGGTTGTTCACCTCAGCTAGCGGGCCTCATATGCCAATGGTTCCACACTTAAGACTTTTGGGTTAGCGCTACTGCTCTATCCCATCTGAGTACTCCATAACCAAAATTTGATTATAAACTAAATGTTATGTGAGTTTAGAAAGAATATACAGAGATAAAAATTGTTGACGTTTAAATAAAACAATTTTTTTTTCTGATTCGTATAGTTTTTACCTCGTTTTATTCTTTTAAAAAAAGTATCTTATAATCTTTTTAACTTGTAAGCGAAATGATATGAATATACACAATCACAAATAATAATATACTACTTTCAATTTAGCAAAATACGTCATTCATTAATACGTTATACTATCTGGTCTATAACAATCTGATTATTATTAAATTAAATTTTTCCAAAGTTGAATCAAGCTTAATTGCAGCCTGACTGATAAAGACGAAGACACAACATATTTTTTTACTATTAGACGTCAAGAAGGGAACAAGAAAAATGTGTACATTCCATATCCTTATGGCCAGAGGCTGAATATAAAACATCTCCAGTTTTCATCAAAACCTCAAATGTTCTTTAAGCTTCAACGGATTTATCTTTAGCCCACACATCACCGAGCAGTGACACCACACCACCAGAAATGTGCCAAACACCAGCTCCTACATCATGATCTCCTGTTGGTTTTATTGTAAGACTTGCTTTATACAGGCCATCAACAGGGGCAGTAAACACTCCAGTCTGTGGTTTAAAACGGTTTCCTACGTTACGTTCTACAGCACTAAATGTGATAACGTTGTAACCGCCATACACTTTCCCTTCCCAGGAACCTTGTGAAGCAATAAACCCTGGTGTTAAATGTTTCACTTGTTGATTGGTTGAAAGAAATAAAATACAATTAGGTATCTAAGCAATGCCAAATAAGTTGTACAAACAATGTACAATGAACCTAATTTCAAAACACTTGTTTTCTGTAATTAGGCCAAATGTTCACGTTAGTACTGCGACAAATTAAGCAACGCAGTCTTTAGAAATACATTTATAAATTAGAAGAAACTTATATTTTCTAGGTAGATTGTTAAAGAAATAAAATGACATTTGTATATTGAACGCACGTAACTCACACAAGACACCATATCATACACGTTATGAACCAATCATTTGTTAATGATGTTTCGGTTATTAAAGGGGAGGCTCAGCTCTAAACAGAATACTTTTATTTTATTATTCTTGTACTATTGACTATTATTGGTTGACAATTGTTTTAAGTGGGTTGTTTCCCTTTCTAAAGTAACCAAACAGGGCTAGCAATGTACATCACTAATATTGGCCGATAGATAAAAATGTCTTGCAATAGTAACAATACGAAATTACATGTAACAATCATTACGACAATAACATAATTCTTTTCAAAACAAGTACATAAGCAAATAACTTTAACTGTCTAATCTGTGGCGGAACTAGAAAAAAGCGCCACCCCGCAGAAACTTATTTCTGAGAACCCCCCCCCCCTATATATCACAATGGCTTAAAAACAAAGGGAAAGAGAATACATAAGATCAAGTAAAAAATGCAAGAAGACTAATTTTTTTAACTATAAAAATTGATTTTGGTCGGGTTTTGGCCACCTAAATGGCGTTATTTCACAAACATGTCCCATAAACATATATATGTCACATTAACATATATAATAAACATTGTGATTGAGTTTCAGTAAATAAAAAACAATTTTAATTAGTATTTCATGATTATATTGTATATTTATATTGAAGAGAAACAACCTACCAATTGATTGAAAATCATTTGACAGCTTTAAAACTTCTATTTTTAGATTTGCAATCTAAAAACAGAACAATAGTTACAAAATACATTATGTGTTTCAAACTTCGAACATCAAAATAAAGGTATTCGGCACAATCCATTACACATTTTTAAACTAGGCCAACAGCAAGACGATAAACACACGTGGCAGCATTGATATATGGGGAAACTAAAACTTACATTTTAAATTTAATACTAAAAAATAATATATTTTATTTGATATTTAAAAATATTTTGGTAACTTATTTATTAAAATAGTGAAATGAAAAATCAAAATACAATAAATGAGCACTTTTTAAAAATCATATGAAGTATATTATTATGCTACCCACGATTAATGTTAAAACTGGGTTTAGATAAAAATATTTGAGTTCATTTACCTTCTTCATTTTCCCTTCCCTAGTCTCAGAGTTTTGATTATATGTTTCAATCATTTTGTCAATTGGCATCAATCTTTGTTGTAGAAGTTTACACATCACAACATGCTAAATAGAAGAAATGTAAAAGTACATTGTTAATAAATGTATTAATAAAAGGTTGATATAAATAAAACACACTAAAATATTGGCAGAAATTTTACTAACTATAAAATGATTTTTATTTGATTTAAAATACAAGTAAAGAGTGACTATGGTAGTGTTTAACCAACACTATTGTAAATACCAAGCAGGCAGACCTCGACTTTGACGGACAGTAGGTAGAGACATACATACAATCAAATGTAGAAAACAAAATAAACAGATAATTTTATACTGGAAGAGGTTGTAAAGTTGACCAAAGTCATTAGAGGCTGTAGAGCCACAAGGGTGTATGTGTAAACATACAATTTAGTTTAATGTTACAAATGAGTTCTAACTATTAAATAGGTATAGACAATAAAAATACAAAGCCTATATAGCTTCTTATAAAACTTAAGCTGAATGTATTGATGTAAATATTACTTTAAAATGTACCTTAGACAGCAATTTATCAAATTTGTTTGTTGTGTCTTCTTGTATAGCAGATATCAGAACCGAATGTCTTTTAATTTCTTGTGTTACATGATCTGTTTTCTCTGTGTAAACTATCATCTCTTTATATAGTGTGTGCAGGTTGTTTTCATTTTCTTTCATATCTGCAGACAGTTTCTCCACTGTTTTGTCTGTGTCTAATTCTTTTGTTTTTAAACTTTCAATTTGTTGAGTCAGATCTTCTATTGTGTTATCTTGTTCTTTTAACTGTTTTCTTAAGTTTTTTAAATTCTGTTTTTGTTTCTTAGACAAGTTTTGAACTTTAATCTCCACATCACTGTGTTCTGTTACAAAGTTGTCTCTCCATTGTTTTATTTCTTCTATGTCATCTTCAGTCTTTTGTTTTGTGTCTTGAAGAGATGATAAAACTGTTTAGTCTTCTTATTGTTTCTGTATCACCTTAAATAGTAAGGATAAAGTGTGGTAACAATTATAAAAGTATATTTAGATGTTATAAAGATATGTAATTTAAATGGATGTAGGAAGATCAATATGTCAGATCAGTTTAAATGTTAAAACACTATATAAGTGGTTTTGTAAAGAAATATACTACATTTAATTGGTTTTCAAATACTGTAAAAGCATAATACGTTAATTTCTTTTCACATTTTAATAGAATGTTTATTTGTGGTAAGGTAAATATTAAAAATTATATAAAAAAACTCTGACCAGACATAGGCGCTGTAGAAATATGTTGAGCATCTTCTGGGATAAAACTTTTACTGTCTGTTGTTGTCTTGTCTTCTGTCATCACAGTGGGAGGGTAGAGCTTGGTGGTTTCTGTCAACATGATAAACTAGAATGTTATATATAAATTGACTGAAGAATATTTCATAAGCTAAATGTAACCTTGGAAACAGTTTTAGTGAATCAGTAAATTAATGAATATATATATGTAGTAGATTTGTACTTAGATCGATAACACAACAGACGAGGAAGCCATCTTCTATGCACACCACGTTTTATTCTAAATCGGAAACAGGAAGCACATCACATGCAAGGGACATCACTCAAAACATTATAAAATATAAGACTAATACAAGAAGAGTGAGTTCCCTTGAATTCACAAAGCTCATTATATTACATCATATATATATATATAACACAAATTATATTTAAATAAGCACTTCTTTAAATTAGGCATTATTTCTCTTTTAAAATATCATTAAACATACAGATCACCATACCATTCATCATATTTAGATGTTCAAATATTACACTCTGTGCTGTAGCTACCATAACATGCGCATCTTTCACTGTCATATTGGTGTCAGTAGTGTTGTCTATATATTCCATTGCTTTTTTTGTAACCTATAAATTGAAGTTTATTTTACTCATATTTGAGCACAATAATTTAAAATCTTAATACACATATTAATAAATAAATAATTTCTAAAAAGCATTGGCAGCATGGCTTTAAAATAAACTAGATTGCTAGCTATAGCAGTTTTTCAAAGTACTGAATGATATATTTAAATAAGAATAAAATTTAAAACTATTATTCACTTATAATTAATGTGTAGTAATAGATTTTTTGATTGGATAATACATTTCACTGTTAATCTTGCTTGAATAGAACATAATATTAAAAATACATGATATGTTCACTATGCATATGTATTTACCTGTTGTATAAAACTGCCGATGCTACTCTGCAGATCTATGCTTGATTCATTCAATAACCCAAGCTGGTTATTTAAATGTTTCTTTAATTTGTCAGACATCTGCAAATTTTTCTTTAAAAAGAAGGGTCTACAAAGGTTTTAATATTTCAACCAAGATTGAAATCTATAAATTCAATTATATTTTTAACTTACTTTTAGTGTTAGAAGTAAATTTGTGTAAGATCTACTCAATTATATAAAATATTATGGGCTGATAATAAAGTGAAACTGAAACCTTCTAAAAAACTGGACATTAAATCTTAAAATATATAATATATAACCAACATACAGATATATATTATGCTATCTATCATACCAGATATACAGTGTTTGTCTCTACATATGATTATTACCTTTAAGATTATAATAACTAATATTTCAGGATCACTACAGCTAAATGTTGAGTTCCTTTAAGCTGCCCACACATAATATCGGGAAAATCCAATAGTTAAAAAAAACTTAAGTCGGATTTTTATATTACAGCGAATTATTTTAAAAACACTAAAAGTTTTCTAATCAACAAAATAAAAGCAAAAATATGTTGTGTAATACGAAATAGTTTGATGCAGAGTAATTGTATTTATTCAAGGTCTGTATTTTTTTTCACTATTTAATTTTTAAAGGAAATCACATAACTGAGTTGTTCTCGCATTATCTATATTCTCTATATCAGTGGTTCTTAAACTTTGGTGGAGGTACCGAACCCCACCAGCTTCATAATTGCATTCATATAATTCTCCTAATAGGAAAAATAAAATATAATTAGTTTCAAATTCAAAACATGAGGTTCATAAATAGTGCATGCCTTATAGGCCTAAATCACTGAGTTCAAAGCACAAAACAATTAAAGTCTATTTTTCACACAAATACGAAAACAGACACAACTTAAGAGTCAGTTAACAGACAGTGTTTAATTAAAGAAAAGTGACTTTTAATATTCATTCTTTTTAATATTTTTACATATTATAGTTATTGTATTATTTATAACAACCTTTACAAACAATTATTTTTAAAAACTAAGTTTGTTTATTCTTGTTGGTTATGTTGCAAGTAGCAATCCCCTTTAAATTAACATTTTACAGAGGAAGCATCACATTTTTAATGTTGTTAGTAAATGTTCGAAATAGATTCTTTCTGTACCAAATTATCAACTTAAAACTGAACACCGTATAATCTTTTCAACATTAACTGGGGGAATTGTTTGAGAGCACAGAACGTGCCATATAGAAAGCACCCAATTACTAACTAATAAACTTAGTTTAATAACATCCAAACAAGGACACATTCGAATAGATACTTTGAGTAAGCAAAATACATCAATCATGACGTAGCCTATAAACTAGAGGCATGTCAGTGTGACTGCTTGTACTGTAACAACTTAGAGAATTTTAACGTTGTTTACTAAAACGTTAACATGAGACGCTGGAAGCTGCAGAGGATCAGATCAATAAAATCTCTTACACTGGTCTAAGGGAGATAACAGTTAAAATGATACATTCTTCAGTAGTGTTGGGTAGTATCCCCTGGTATATAATAGACAAGTGTCGCACAAACATGCAGCATTCATCTTAAGGACTTCTGTACCACTGTAAATGTTTACCAGATTTTCTAATGTATTTTTTAATGTCGCATTAATGCGTACATCTTTGTTCTAAATTAATGTAAATAATCATTAAATTAGTTTTATTTTGTATTTTGTTCTACGGAATATATGACTGTATTATGTTCCCGTCTCTTAACTGTGCTGCAAATGTTCATGACAGTAGGCTTTATCAATACTCTAGTTTTCAGTATAAGGGAAACAATAAAGAAAATACAACATTAATTAAGAAAGTTCCGTCCCCTTATTATTATAAAATGACCAAATAGTAGGATGTTTTTGTTAAACACCTCCTCTACTTTAAACCTCGTACAATGTGTAACGGGGCTGTCACAGGCCTTTCTCCTACCTTTTATATTACTCATACAAAATCAAAAGACAAGCCTTCTTTTGCAGTTTTTCATATTTATTTTGTTTTCACACAGGCAGCGTGTTCATCCAAGCTACGCCATCTTCTTGCCTCCTTTTTCTCTTCTCCCTCGCGCATGCGCACAGCCACTGTCTCCCTGATGCAATCTCACACACACTCGAATGATACAATCCACCAACATTTCACTGTTATACGCCCTTTCTCCCCTTTAAAAAAAATTAATTTAGATCACATCCACTATACCAGGTTCTATATGTATGATAACTGATGTTATATATTAAACCTTGAAAGTAAAATCTTAAAGGAGTAGTAAGTTCAGCATATTTATCCACAAAAATATTATAAAAATTGCATAGTCCCAACAATGCTTTCACTTCTTTCTTTGTAGTAGGGGTTTTGATATTTAATATTTTGTCCTTATTTCCCTCAGTAGGTCTAATTTCTTTATTTCCAACCTTAAATCCTAGGAATTCTACTGTATCTACTCCCACATGCAGTTTCTCTGGTGCTATGGTAACCCCATGTTTTCTAAGTCTTTCTAGTAGTTCTTTTAGTGTTTGTATGTGTTCTTGTCTCAACCGCTGCTCCAATTTGACTTTCCCATCTATCTATATCTTCCTCATTACTTTCTTTCACCTCCTTTACATTCCCAATAATCATATCTGCTATTGGTTCTTCCATGACTGCCACTTTATATTTACCTTTCAGCCAAGCAGAATCTATATCAACAACTGCTATCTTACACTCATCCCTAAATTTCTTGTTGGCGGATGTCATCTTCATTATGCCAGGAATGTATTGTTCTGGTTTTACAAGGCTTTTCTTAACAATAATGCATGTGCAACCTGAATCTCTCAGGCACATTACTCTGACATTGTTTACTTTAGCTGGGAACATCTTCAATGTTGTATTGCTTTGACTAACAGATGCCACCATCTCTGACCCTTCTACCCCTGCTGATATCTCTTGATGATTATTTCTACTAATTCTATTTTCTCCCCTGTTGTCTGGTCCCATTCTTCGCTGTCTACTTTGATTGAGGAATTCATTCCTACTTTGTCCATTATACTGTTCTTGTCTGTAATAATTACTTTGATTTCTATAGTTGTTCTTTTTTCTTACTATCACCATGGGTGATGAGTATGCTGATTCTGTTCTTTCTATTTGCCCAGACTCAAGTAGAAAATCCAGTTCTGCTTCAACAGCTTCTCTATAAGCAACTGGTACTTGGTAATGTTTCCCTTTCATAGCACTATAATCAGTCTATTCTATTTTGTGTTGAATTGTTTCAGTAAAACCCATTTCTGTAGTAATCATATCCTTGTACTCATTTATTATTTTGTCCATTATGTTTTTCTCCTTCACTGGGATATGATAAGTCTTAATTTGTTGTGTATTACAGCTTTCACTTATTATAGCACAGGCCATATGTTCCTCTTCTATCAGTTTCTCTGGCTCTACATATAATTTCTTCATTCTGTCCATGTGTATAGGAGTGTTATTTCCCTTTATGTTTATTTCATCATTTACATCAGATAGTTTCTTGATTACTTCAAAAGGTCCTTGAAATGCTTCTATGTTTTCTCTGTCTGGCAGTTTGACAAAAACTAAATCTCTTCTTTCAAAAGTTCTTAAATATCTATGTTTGCTTTTTATATTTCTGTGCCTTTCACTGGCTACTTGTGCATTCTCTTGGGCTGTCTGGACACCATAAAGAATTCTCTCTCTAGTCTGGTTTACTAGTTCATGAGGATCAAATTCCTCTTCCTGTTTATTTAATAATTCAAGTTCAAAAGGAGAAAAACCTCTCTGTTTGCGAATAGTACTTGAGATTGATTACTTTTTTCTAACTCTAACTCAAGCTGTCTTTGTTTTTCTCTATCTTCTAATTGTCTCTGTTTTTCTCTATCTTCAAATTGTCTCTGTTTTTCTCTATCTTCTAAATGTCTCTGTTTTTCTCTATCTTCGGCTTTTATTTTAGCTAGATTTATTTCCTTATCAGCCTCCATTTTAAATTTTTCCAACTCAGCCTTCACTTCAGCTATTTTCTTCTTAATCTCCATTTTAACTTTAGCCTTCTCAGCCTGCCATTTAACTTTTTTATCAGCTACCTTCTTTTCTACCCAATTTGCCTTCTCTGCCCCAGTGTATCCTAAAGAATCAGCCAACTCAATGTATTTGGCATAGAACTCGATAATGATATCCATCGTAATGTAATGATGCAAGCACAGTTATTCAGTTACAATACTAAATCTAGATTTAATTCTTTGCTTCACGGTGTAGAGCACCGACCACTTCTGACACCAAAATGTCACAGGCCTTTCTCCTACCTTTTATATTACTCATACAAAATCAAAAGACAGGCCTTCTTTTGCAGCTTTTCATATATATTTTGTTTTCACACAGGCAGCGTGTTCATCCTAGCTACGCCATCTTCTTGCCTCCTTTTTCTCTTCTCCCTCGCGCATGCGCACAGCCACTGTCTCCCTGATGCAATCTCACACACACTCCCAAGATACAATCCACCAACATTTCACTGTTATAGGGGCCATATTTATTGTAATGTTGTTAAAATTATAAAACGTATTTGTTTACTTTTTTTATGTTTGCATTAAACTGATTTATACTGAATGCAATGACTATTATTTTTTAACATAAAAAATAACACAAAAAAACCAAACAAACAACTGGAGCGATGTTGCAAATTGAAAGTAAAAAGATCGCGGTTGCAAATACTTCATTTTTCTAAAATATTCATCAAACGGAATCAACACCAGTCCAACAGTACTGAAGATAGAGGAATAATACATAAGTGAAAGATTAAGATAAGACAAAATACAGTTCAAACATTTTTGTAGTTACACAAAAGTTTAGTTTTATAAAAACTTAACTACTCTTTAATAAAAATTTAAAATTTAAATTACATTTCAAAAATATTTTTCTTACTATAAGTTTTTCTCGTATCTGAGACCACCGACTTATTAAAAGAAATCTTCGAAACCAGACGCGTTGTAAGGATTTTTTTTTATTTTACAACACACTAATATGATAGCACGACCAATTTCAATAATAAATGTCGTTAGCACTCACGAAAATCTTAATTTCCTGTGTGAAGCACACCCTTATGGATGCTAGTTACTACATTAGTTGTTATGCAATAGGAACTCAATTTTTAGGGAATACAAGAAAAAAGTTTAAATATTACTTTTCAACTGTTTATATTGTAATCCAGATAAAATTGATAACTTACTGTTGCGTATTTGCAGTTTCTTGGTGTTGTAATTTATTATAAACAAGGCCAGTGACCTGTCAACAATGCTAATCAATTATACACTGATTTTTTTCTTCTTTAAACCTTGCCTTATTTATCAAACAAAAATATAAACTTGTTAAAATAAAGGCAAACTTTTTATGTTAAGTATTACTTTTATTTTGTTTATAGGCATTTTACATGTTTTCGTGTAGATTAACAACGTATAAAACATTAGCCCTTTAGGAGAGAAAAATAAGTCTAATCTCGCGTGTATTGTTATAGCGTATCTAAAAGAATTCTCAACTATTAATGTATATATTTGGTTTTAGTCAATATTAAGTCTGTAATAAATAAAAGAAAAATGGAATTTAGACGTCAAGATAAACACAAGAAAAATGAGTACATTCACAATCATGATAGCCAGTGAATGAAAATAAAACATCGCCAGCTTTCATATAAACCTCAAAAGTTGTTGAAGCTTCAAAACATTTTTTTTTAGTCTCAACATTACCGACCCGTCTCACCGCACGACCAGATTTGTGTACAACCCAGGCTCCCACATCACGATCTCCTGTTTGTTTTATTGTAAGACCTGCTTTATACAGGCCATCAACAGGGGCGGTAAACACTCCAGTGTTTGGATCAAAATGGTTTCCTACGTTACGTTCTACAGTACTGAATGTAATAACTTTGTATCCGTCATAGTATTTCCCGTCCCAGCGACCGTGTGAAGCAACAAACCATGGTGTTGAATGTTTCACTTGTTGATTGGCTGCAAAGTAATAAAATAAAATAAAAATGACTCTGTTCCTTATAAACATTTTAAACATTTTAATTTCATTACAAGTGGTGCCTTGGATAGGACTAACATTAATCGCTGATTTAAACAAAATGTGCGTGCACTAAGAAATTTCGAGTTATAATAAAATAAATAAATGTAATACTCATACAGACTATTAAATAAGACAATAATACATTTAATTTCTGAGTCTAACGAGAAAATATAATATTTTTTTCTGAAGGCGGTCACTCTGTGACAGATAAAGTCAGCTAAAACAAAATGCTAACATTTTTTTTATATTTTACGTTCTACTGACTTTTGAATTTTTTTTCAAGGCTTTGGTCATGTAACATATTTATGTGTATTTACAAAATGCCAAAAGACAGAGCTACTTAGATGAATAATTTTTCTTTGGTCATCTAAACATATGTATGTGTATTTACAAAATGCCAAAAGACAGACCTTTTCTTTTGCACCAGTTTTCTGTTTCATTAAACATATTTGTTCTTACTTTAAATTATCTACCTATTGTCTGAAAATCATTTGACAACTTTAAAACATCTTTTTCCAGAGATTCATTCTAAAAATAAAAATATAAGTTATTGACATACGCCATGAAGTAAATAATAAAAACAATTCCAAAAAATAAAGTACACACTATCCTTATCTGCACCATTGTTGCAAAAAAACTCCCTCACATTATGGAACATGGATTATACAATAAGAAACTTCAAGTTTTACACGGAAGGTCCTCTATCATGAGAATACAAATTTATCTAATTCTCATGAACTTAATGTTTTAAAATAAAAACAAGTTATTAATAAATTTTACATAGTTGTTAAAATATATTTTTACATTGTAGCCACCAATACTTTTGATACTGTATTTAGAATAACTCTTGAATAACAGCAAACAATATGTTAAAATTCTACCGAATGTTACAATTTGTTGCTCGTGAACATAAAATCGGTCGTCATTCAAGTTGTTTTCTAATGCTTGCTTCAGCGCTTTGATATAATGACTTCAAACTGTGTCTATTTTATAACTTAATATAACAAAAATGTTTGTTTGAAATGTGTAAAAAAGTATTAAAATTTTTTGTTATTTCACCTTCTCCAGTTTTTCCTTGGTAGTCTCTAGGTTCCTGTTACTTGCTTGAAGAATTCTGTAAATGGGCAACAACCTCTGTTGTAGAAGTTGACAAATCACACCATGCTATTGAGTAGAATTACTGTCATTATTTCACACAATTAAAAACATGTTATAATTTATAAATGTTTGAGGTATCTAACATTGTTCAATTACTAGTAATAACTAGAACAATAATTATTGCAAAATTAATATAAATATTCCACAATATCACCTTAGACAGTAATTTTTCTTGTGTTGTAGAGATCAAATCAGAACGTCTTTGAATTCCTTGGGTTAAATACTCTGTTTTGTCTGTGTGATTCTGGATCTCTTTGTTTATTTTGTGTAAGTTTTTTTCATGTTCTTTTAAATCTAAAGACAGTTCCTCTAGTTTTTTGTTTGTTGTTGATTCTTTTTCTTTAAAATTTTCAATTACTTTATTCATCTCTTCTATTTTGCTTTCTTGTTCGTGTAGTTGTTTTCTCATGTTTTTTAAATTCTGTTTTTGTTTCTCAGACAAGGTTTTAGTTTTTACCACCATATCATTGTGTTCTGTTACAAAGTTATCTCTCCATTGTTTCATTTCTGATATGTCATCTTCAGTCTTTTGTTTTGTGTCTTGTAGAGAAGTTAGGGTTGTTTCAATATTCTTTACTCTTTCTATTGCGTTTGCATCACATTCTGCTATAAAAATGCAAATATACACAACATTTACACAAAAAGTTATGTTACGCTTTAAACATTAAATAACCTGGAAAAAATGTTTAAAACTAGTAAATGACCAATAGAAGAAAAACTATTTTTTAACATCATTTTACTTTTTTAGACAAAATTTTAATTTTACAAAATGTGTAAGTTAACATAGAGTTAGTAATATTTAATGTGAAATATTATAAGCAGTTTTTTGATTGTTGGTATTTGTGTTAAGATCTTAATTTTCTTTAAAGAAAATTTATTTACCATGGTCTTTAGAAATATTCTGAACATTTGTTGTATTCATACTTTTTTTTTCTGGTGTTGCTTTTTCCCCTGTCACCACCGTGGGAGGGTACAGCTTGGTAGATTCTATCATCAAGATAAAACACTAGTATTACTTTTTGTTCATAAACAACTAAATTTTGGACTGTTAAGCTTCAAACATCTTGGAAATATATAACTGTTTGTGTTAAATAGATCCTTTAAAATGTTTTTAAATATTAAAAAAACTGATTTGAAAACAGCAGCAACTCATAAATAAAAAATAAAGGTAAAGAGTTGTAAATGACAATTAAAAAGAAATAAACTTACCCACTAACATATATGTGTGATCTATGATTGTACTTTGTGCTGTTGCCACCATACTAATGGCATCTTTCACTGTCATATTGGAATCAGAAGTCTTGTCTACACATTTCATAGCGCTTGTTTTAATCTGTACAGTTAAGAATAATAGTAGTGGTTATATAGTTTAACTTTTTAAAATGCAACAGACAATGTATTATTTTCTTTAAAGCACTGGTTACACAACATGGTTTAGTCATTTCATAGGCTAAGATTCTGGTGTTATTATTAACAGTATTATTATAAACCTGCTATTGGCTTCTTTGATTAGTAAAAAAAATATTTTAATGACTTGGATTTTGGGATAATATTCTGCATTATTTCTGTATAAAAAAGTATACATATTAATAACATGATAAAAGCTATCAATAAGACACACTAAATTTGAAAATTTTGCGAACAAAATTTGTGGATACTTAGTATTGCACGTGAATTAAAAAACAAACACATAAAACATGAGACATGGGACTAAAACTACTATAGAAGAAAAAATTAAACATGTTTATACTCATGCTATTTAATATATTTTATGCCTTTAACAAACATGCATAGCTATATGATTTTATGTTAGGGTATAGATTAGGGGCCCATATAAATTAAATGATACTGAAATAACATAATTTTAGTAAGGCATTTAAAATACTGTCCCAACGTATCTCACAGAACTAGATTCTATTTGTGTTTACCTGCTGTATAAAATCACTGATGCTACTCTGTAGATGAAAACTTGACTCATCCAATAGCTCAAGCTGAGTTGTTAAATGTTTCTTTAATGGGTCAGACATCTGCATGAATTTTATCTTGTTAAATCGTGTGTTACATTTTCATAGTTATTTAAAAGATATATTTAAAAAATCGTACATGTTGTGTATGTGCTACATGCTAACAAAAAATGGTATACTATACTAATTTGCTAAATCTTTAATGAAATCGAAGCTTGCGCTATCCTAGATCGCGATCTACATACAGTACATGAAACGTTATAGTAACATAGCAAAACTAAAATCAAAATGTGAATTAACTTTAGAATAAACTAATATTGTATTAAAAATTAACAAGTACACAAAGAAACTATATTTTCAGACTGTAGTCCTATAATGGCGACCAAGAGTTTTGCTTTTACGGAGTGAAGTTAAGTAATATTGGGAAACTCCAATAATCTAATTATAGATGTCTTATCCACATTTAGCGTTTTATTTTTTAACAAGCCAAATCAAGAATTGTTTGTATTGATATCTGCGTTAAAAGACGACTTTGACTTTATAAACATAAACACAAATATATTGTACACATAATTTCTTTCAGGGATGCCTTGGGGGAGGGAGTGAAGGTAATAATCAACATAGACAATATTTACTTTAACCACCAAACGCTTCATAAATCAGTAGTTTGATTGTGTTTTTTTAATAGGGTCGGCTCAGAAAAAATGGAAAAAAAAACACTTTTAAATTAATAAGCCTTTTTTTATTAGTTTGTGTAGGCCTAATTATTAAGGGTACTTAATGGAAAACATTTGCATGTACTAAAAATATGGTTGCCATGGCAACGGCGTCCATCTTGAAAAAAAACCTTTTCCAAACTTCTAAAATTTCTTAAAGTAACATATAAAACGCTCAAATAATCATAGATCTTTTTTGTACTAACACTAATAGAGTCAGCTGGCTAGTTTTATAGACACCACCGAAAATGTCTAATCACTTTTTGTAAATATCTAATTAATATCATTGTAAGGTACACATTACATGCTATTGAATTTGTGTCTACTAAACTATTCGTGGACATCAGCATCGGGGTGGGGGGTTTGGTGGGGGTCTAAAAATTCCAGATTTTTGTGGACGTTATAAATGGGTGATCTTAGAGATCAACCGTTGGGCTTTACGAAAGAAAGGTCATGCGTAGATTAAATTGCTACCCTGCGCATCATCATTGAACAGACCCAAGAGGGGAACTCATCTCTATGTATTAATTTCATAGATTCAATGTAGAAATTGTTAAGACACTACGGGGTGCCATAGAAAATAGTCAACATTATTATGTCTTTATATGAAGGTCTGAAATGTAGAGTAGTTCATTGCCATAAGACTTCGGAGGCCTTCCCAGTACGGACCGGAGTAAGGCAGGGTTGCCTACTTTCACCATTCCTGTTCCTGCTGGCCATAGACTGCATTAAGAAGATGTCAACAGAGAAAAAGCAAATCGGTATACAACGGACACTGTGGAGCCAGCTGGATAACCTGCTGACGAACTGGCCGTTCTTTCTCATACACAACAGCAAATGCAAGATAAAACCAACAGGGTTGCTACTTTTTCTACATGTCTGGGCCTAAACATCCACAGAGGAAAAAGTAAAGTTCTGAAAGTCAATGCATCAAACAGCACCCTTATAGAATTGGCAGAAGAAGCCCTAGAAGAAGTGGATAGATTTACCTACCTTGGAAGTATTGTTGATAAGCGGTGCAGGGTAGAAGCAGACATAAATAATATGACGGGCAAGGCAAGATCAGTCTTCAACCAACTAAAAAATGTTCAAAGTTCTGGAACTTTAACCCTTGGAATAAAAATCTGGATCTTCAACACACTAGTAAAACATTTTTACCTTATGGAACTGAGACATGGAGAATATATGTTATAAATAAGAAGAAAATACAATCATTTATAAACGCATGCCTCAGAAAGATCCTGCAAATTCGCTGGCCTAAAACCATCAGAAATAATGTTCTATGGCAACGGACAAATCAACTGCCATCTGTAATAGAGATCCTGCAGAGAAAATGGAAATGGATTGGCCACACACCCAGGAAGCCTGTATCCAGCATAAAAAGACATGCCCTCACCTGGAATCCACAAGGCAGGAGGGAGAGAAGCAGACAAAGAAAGGCCCGGAGACGTGACCTGAAAGAAGACACCAAGAAGATTGGAAACACCTGTGGACAGTTGGAGAGACTAACCTAGGAGAGAGACGCCTGGAAAGCTCTTGTCGGCGGCCTATGTCCCAGGAGGGAGGACGGACAAACCTAACCTATAAATGGGTGATCTCTAAACACTAATATAATAGTAGTTGAAACATGATCAAACAGACGTCTCTTCATCGTTTATTTTTCTCTGACTGGTTGATTTAAAGACTTTGATAAAATTTCAACCACCCAGCCGTAAGTTAGAACGAATTGTGCATCGCTCGTCTAAGTCATCAAAAAAATATTTGGTCCCGTTTGGTGTAGTGTTTACCATACCCCTATCTCTAAAATAGACGCCATCTTAGTGAATGCATAACCGTATGTGATGACATACAATGGTAACACGGTTGTCAGACGGTGGTCATAGATATGTCATGTGGTCACTCACGATAGTCATACATCTGTCTGTAGTCTTACAAGGTAGATTTAATAATACAATACTTTATTAATAAGGAAGTAGGCCTATATCTGATGGCAGTCAAAGTTTCAAAATGAACTCACTTCCTCCTTGTAGGCCTATACCATAATGTAGTTGTCTAGAAATGGAAACGGAATGATATTTTTAGGGAAAACCCGTTGTTACCTGTATAACAACCAAACAACGATAGAAAACATATAAGTCGAAATTTTGATTTAAGAAGGATTTGTAAGCATTAGAAGTAAAATTCTTTTATTAAGGTAAATTTTGATTGCTCTAAAATATAATTAAGATAGTACATAACAGAAAATACACAATATTGTATTTTAATCCATGCATATCTATCTCTATCATATTCAACAAACAAAATGGCATAAATTGGTAAAACTAGAAATCGAAAAGGAACTAAAATGTCTTTACAGTCACTTCGTGAAGCACTTTTTAAAAATAAACAACATTCAGTTTTTTTAACAAGTGTCGCTGTATTTATTTTAAAAAAATCATGCTGCAAATTAGAAGTGACACATTTATCGAGGTAAAATGTTACTCTTTTAAACCAAATCGAAATTACACATAATAAATAGTATGCATATGGTCGTCTAGCTTTGTTTACATGTTCGAGAAAATTCAAACATCTGGAGCTTGTAATATGTTTTATAAGATTTTCTTTGGTCTCGAGAAATTTCTTAGAACAAACAATATAATGAATACATAACAATAGCTCACTCGGACATTTTCTGTGAGTGTCTCCACTCAAGCTCGTTTAACATATAACTTATAACCTACATTTGGAGTTAGAAACCAGACTGAATATAAAATCTATTTCTGTAAACTGAATTATTAAATTTTAAAGATTTTAAGCCTACATCATTTTAAAATTAAAAAAAAATACTGTTGGTCTCTAGAATATGTTATCAGTTTTGATTTAAAAATAAACCAGTGCTAAGAGTTTAATTTGAAATAAAAGCTACACGGATGTCTGACCAATTAAAGAAACATTTAACTACACAGCTCGGGCTATTGGACCAGGCAAGTTTTCATCTGACGAAAATCGCAGCCTCGCAGGCGCCACCCATATCATATTTTCATTATTTTGTTTACAGAAACCTTCTCGGTAGTATTCTCATCAACTCCCCAAAGTTTCATGGCACACGGATGAAAGGTGTCGAACCGCAATTTACTTTTATTTTTATACAGCGTCTATAGAGACAATTCAAACCTTCCCGGGGCGCCGCCCTTGCGAAATAACAAAATAATGTTATTGCAGAACCCATCCGTGGAGGGTTGTAATCAAGTCCCCAAAGTTTGATATCGATCGGATGAATGGTGTGAAAGTGCAATCGACTTTTATTTTGTATATACCATATTTAGAGAAAAATCGCAACCTCCCTTGGCGCCGCCCTTGCGAAATTAAAAATGAGTTTTTTTTACAGAACCCTTCCCTAGAGTGCTCTAATGTACTTACCAAAGTTTGGTGGCGATCGGACGAATGCTGTCAAACCAAAATCGACTTTTATTTTTCTATATCATATTTTGAGAAAAAACAAAATGCGCCCTGCTTGGACGCCACCCCTGCGAATTTGAAATTTTATTTTTCGCAGAAACCTCCACAGAAATTTTCTCAATGACTTCCCAAAGTTTGACGGCGATGTGATGAGAGGTATAGTAATGTATACAAGACAAACAAACACAAACACACACATATACATTGCTTTATATATATATATATATATATATATATATATATATATATATATATATATATATATATATATATTGGATTTTCCCGATATTATGTGTCGGAAGGTTTAAGCAACTCTGGACTCAACATTTAGCTGTTATTCTAGAACATAGTCTTAAGGTAAGGCCTTAGACCTACACCATATGTTTTGTATGTGTTGTATGGTAGATGACATGAAATATAACGTTTATACTGTAGATGGTTATATATATCAGAATTCAATACCTGGTGTTTTTAAAGGTTTCAGTTTCACTTTGTTATTACACCATAATATAATTTAGTAAATCTTACAAAAGTTTACTTAAACTAAATATAAAATATTAGTATATATTGTAACATAATTTATCAATTTAAGTAGATGAAGGAAATTTAAACCAATGTAAACTTAAAATTATTTTATTTTTCAGATGTCCGCCCAACTAAAGAAACATTTAACTACCCAGCTCGAGCTATTGGACGAGTCAAGTTTTCATCTACAGAGTAGCATCAGTGATTTTATACAGCAGGTAAATACAAATTGTTTTTGTATCATCGATGTGTATTATAAACGGGATAATTGTATTCAAAACAGTCTAGTCTAGCATTCATTAATATTTCCTATGTCTTATTGTTGTAATTTAAACATTATATTTCAATCACGTTAAATTATTCTAATCCTCATAACGTATTCAAAGCCTTAGCTTGCAACTAAACAGTTTTAGACAAACATTGTTTCTACAAAGTGTTATAGGGCACTGGTCAACAGTTTTTATACAGATTTCTTACTTGTCCAGATCAGAACTAGAGCCAATGAATGTGTAGACAATATGCCTGGCTCCAGTAAAGCTGTGAAAGATGCAATTGCTATGGTAACAACTGCACAAAGTATAATACTAGAACACACAGACATTTTCAATGGTATGATCATAGTCTTTATTTTTTTCCTATTGAATATAGTATTGCTTTAATAACAATTCAAAACAGATGAGCTTTTAAAATGATTATATTTCTATTTCTTTTCATTGATATACAAGATTCATAATGTTTTATTTTAAAAAGATTGATGGCATATATTGTATGAATTAAAACCTATCAATATGCACCCATCTGACAACAACCTCTTTATCTCATAAATTAGTTTAACATGAACTGATGTAATGTTCGTGTGTATCTTGTTGACAGATTCCACCAAGCTGTCCCCTACCACAGTGATGACACTAGAAAAGACAACACCAGACATTCAAGATAAGAAAGCTCCAATATCTGGTATTTTAACCATACTAATTAAAAATTACACTCATTAACACATAACATACAATATATATAAGTAATCTATAAATAATTGCAACAAGTATACGTAAGAATATTTTAAATACACTTTGGCAAAATCAACAATATTACAATAACAATGTAAGAAAAGAAAAAAATTGTAGTAATTTTGAATGTGTGTTTTTTCTTTTAAAATATTTAATGAATGCAATGAAACAGATAGAGTTTGATTTTGTTTAAAAATGTTTATTCTTGTATCCCAACATTTTGTGTTAAATTTATTTTTAGTTTGTTTGATAATATTTTCTTCAGACATTGACAAAATTACAATTTTGTTATTTAACAGTTGAATATAATCCAGAAACATCAAGAAGACTAAAAGATATTGAAACAGTTTTATCATCCCTTCAAAACGCAACACAAAAGACTGAAGATGACATATCAGAAATAAAACAATGGAGAGACAACTTTGTAACAGAACAAAGTGATCTGGGGATTAAAATTCAAAACTGGTCTAAGAAACAAAAACAGAATTATAAAAACTTAAGAAAACAATTAATAGAGCAAGATGACAAAATAGAACAGCTGATTCAACAAATTGTAAGTTTAAAAACAAAAGAATCAGACACAGACAAAAGCTTGGAAAAACTGTCGCTAGATTTGAAATAATATGAAAACAACCTGCACACACTAAATAAAGAGATGAGTGTTTACACAGATAAAACAGATAATGTTACACACGAAATTCAAAGACATTCGGTTCTGATATCTGCTATACAAGAGGATACAACAAACAAATTTGATAAATTATTGTCTAAGGTACAGTTTTATAATATTTAGATCAATGCTAGAGTTCTATTAGTGGCTATATTTTTTCTCGTCTATACACTACCATAGCAACTCTTCACTGGTATTTTAAATCGCATAACATTTATTGCTTGCATTGTAAAATATTCTGCCATTATATAAATTGTTTTATGAGTTTTATTTGTTTCAATCTTATGTAAACACATTTATTAAACATGTACTTTTTCATTTTTTCTATTTAGCATGTTGTGACTTTTAAACTTTTACAACAAAGATTGATGCCAATTGACAAAATAATTGAAAGATATAATCAAAAATATGAGACTAGGGAAGGGAAAATGAAGAAGGTTAATTAACCTTAAATGTTCATAGCTAAACACCATGTAATATATTTAATACAATTATAAAACAAGTGGTTGTTAAATGTATCTTTGTCTTTTTATTTTTACTAGTTTAAAGAAGTAATTAAATTTTAAATATCAAATAAAATAGATTAATTTATTTTAGTAATAAATTAAAAAAGTAAAGTAAAAGTTCTAGCCTTCATTTATATCAGAGCTGTTACACACAATACTTGTAGTGATTGTAGTTAACTGCGCAAACTTAAAAAAGATGATTGATTAAGACAAATTAATTGTTTGTGACACATAATGTATTTCTGTAACTGTTGTTTTGCTCTTAGACTGAAACTTTGGAAAAAGAAGTTTTAAAACTATCACAGGATCTTCAATCTATTGGTAGGTTATTTCTTTTCTATATAAATATACATTATAATCATGGAATACTAGTTAAAATTGTTTTTTAGTTTACCAGAAAATACAATGTTTTTATATATATATATATATATATATAAATATGTATATATATATATATATATATATATATATATATATATATATATATATATATATATATATATATATATATATATATATAGATATATATGTATATGTATATGTATATATATATGAATATATATATATTAATGTTGTTTATTTTTTTCATAAGTTGTTAAAGTAAATTTCTCTAAATTGTGTAACTTAAAGCTTTTGAAACATTTGAGAATGTTTTTAAAGTAAAGCTACGGTATTGATCAAATAAGCATCTTTAAACACACACTGCAAATATTTCCTAATTATTTTATTAATAAGCATATTTTAAAAATACGTTCATATCTTCATTTGTTTAAGGATTTTATTTTTCAAGATAATTGTCAACAGTAATAGCCTTTGTATTTTAAAAATCAAGGTATACATTTTATGTGCTTTGCTTATTGCATCGTTTTTATGTAGAAGTATGCTATTTTCAAATTAATTATTAAATGTAGATTCACATTGTTTTATTCTATTGGCCCATATCAGAGATGTGAAGGACTTTACTGCAGGAGACATTTTTCATTACTTAAGTAATGGAAACAACCCACTTAAAACAATTGTCAAACTAATGTTAGCCATAAGTACGAGAAAGATAGAATAAAAGTTGTCTTCTGTTTTGGGCCGAGGCTACCTTTTTATTGACCTCAAACTTCTAAACTAATGATTGGTCCATAATTTATATGATTTTGTTTCTTGTGTGGGTTACTTGCATTCAATATATAGATGTAATCCTTACTTTTACTTTGAAATCGAATTAGAAAAGATATTTTTCATGAAATTTTAACTTGTAATTGTTTGTCTATAAGCTGAGTCGCTCGATTCGGCACATTACTAATGTGAACATTTGATCCAAGTAGAACCAACAAGTTTAAAAAAAAGTTTGTAATAAGTATTTGGTAATGTTTAGATACTTTATATATTTTATTTCTTGCAGCCAATCAACAAGTGAAACCTTCTACACCGGGGTTTATTGCTTCACAAGGTCGCTCGAAAGGGAAATTTAATGACGGATACCAAGTTATTACATTCAGTGCTGTAGAAACTAACGTAGGAAACCATTTTGATCCAAAGACTGGAGAGTTTACGGTCCCTGTTGATGGCCTGTAAAAAGGAAGTCTTAGAATAAAACAAACAGGGGATCGTACTGTAGTAGCTCGTGTTTTTTGCATATCTGGTGGTGTGATGTCATTGCGCGGTAGTGTTTGGACACAAGACAAATCTGTAGAAGCTTCAAAGACTTTTGAGGTTCGGATGAAAACTGGAGATGTTTTATTTTTAGAATCTAGCTTTAAGGATTTGGAATGTTCACATTTTTCTTGTTCCCTACTTGACGTCTAATTTTTATAGTTCAAACCAATTCAAGGGAATTTTTTTTTAAAATATCAACAAGTTTTACAATTATTTGCATTTAATAAAGAGTAAATATAGACTAGTTTCTGAAAACATTTTCAACATACCAGAAAACAAGGAATTTTACTGATGGTCATTACACGCGTCATTAAACATACTTATACTATTACAATTTTCATACCAAATACTTAGATATTTTCCTAAACAATAGCAAAATTGTCTTTCCTTTTTTCCTATGTGTTTTTGTTCTTGCCATATATTGCTGAGTCACAAATGTTTTGTCTGTAATTTCTATCAATCTTTTTCTGTATTGTATTAAAGATTTATTGCCTTATCAATCGTCTGAATTTTGTTCTCTACCTTGCTTTATTTTTCTAATGCCAGTTTCAATAACTTTAATGCAGGTCATAATAATATTAAAGTTGTCTGTCTCTTTAGTATTTTGTAAATAACAATATCGTTCTTCCTTCATAAAGATTGGCTTATTTCGTCCGTTACATCCCTCCTAATGTAACTTAAACAGATTTCAGTTTATAACGCTTGTGTTACACCTGACCTATCATTTTTATGGTTCGCTGATCGGAGAGGGGGGTGGGGGGCACACGATTAAAAAGAACACAACCAACTCTCTGTGTCTTGTTCGCGTCAAATAATATAATCGAATAAAATGAATTCAGTCACAGGAATGACCCAGTTTTTCACTAAGCTTAATCAATGGCTTACCATCTGCTTTCATAGTGCCCCCACATATCTCCCTCTTGATGACAATACACTATGACATAACGTTTGTCTAAATTGGAATTTTTATTGACTGTTTAAAATATAATCAGTTTCTTTGTTTAAACGACATTTTCCCCAGTTCTAATTCTAATTAACCTCCAAAACACAAACTTCTTATACAGACGGATAATTGAGAATAAACTCTACCGGCTTTAGAGTTCTTTTAGTTGTAAACATCAAAGGCTTGATTAAACAGGAAGTTTTAATAAAGAGAGCACATCATTAATGTAGGCATCGAATAACGTCAAATAGGAGGTCAGCAGATAAAAAACCCCAAAAAAAATTGTAGAAAATGTCATCGGACTTGTTGAAGATGGTGAAATAAATTATTGGGGTCCGAGTAAAATAAAACTATAACAGACACCTCGGTCTAATAAAACTCTTCAGCGGAATATATCAGTCATGACGCAGACTTTAAAGATCAGATTTTGTTAGAGGAATAGTCTATCTATATTTTTCAATGTGTGTTGTTTGTCTACTGCCATTGTGTATTTTTAGAAAAAATGGGAACCTACTTGTTTATTACTCGTTAAATGAATATATTTAAATATTGTCTCCTTTTGACCAATCTCCTTATGGTCTACCTGAGATCGTATCCTCCTTAAAGCTTCAAGTCGGCCTATCGCTCAGCTGTCTTCAGTTTCTAATGAATTTGTTTAGAGAGTTTGTCCCGTCTTGTTGGTTTGTCCTCTCTTTTTTTCCTTCCATAAGACGTTATCTAAATTGTCGTCTTCCCTGGTGTCTTGTGTACTGGCTGACCTGCCGTTAGTGTGTGTGTGGGGCGAGGGGGCAGGTGTTGTGGTGGACGTTAATTTTTCCGTAGACTTGTACAGAAACCCCCCCCCCCCCTTCGACGAAATATTATTTATATAACAATATTATATACAAATTTCAAATGTCGTCCCCCCAGGAGATAAAAGTCTTAAGAACTACTTTCGGGGACCTAAAACCCACTCGAGGTCCAAGTTTGTTCTCAAATTGTTCTTCACGTATTTCATTCTTGAAAATGTTTGTTACAGAAACTAGATTTTTAGGTTCAGAATAATGAAATTACTAGCTATGTCTGCAGCAGAGGCCAATTTTTATACCCACTCTTCATCAGATATTAATGGCTGTGGCTTACATTTACTTTCCAGGAAGTCACCTATTTCTTTTCTTAACTTAAATACTCTGCTCAGAACTTTCTCGCAACAGTCAACGTACTGCTGTGTTATATGGTAAATCTTACTATTCTGTGTCTGTATCTCTCAGCATATCTCTGAATTGTCTATGGTTGAGCCCATGTGAAATTCACCATCTTCTCCACAGGATTCAGTACACTGCTTGTGTCCATATATTTAACACACAAAGCTTGCGGGTGAATTAATACAGTGCAGGAATATTAGTTGTAGAATATTTTTCTCGTTCGTGTGTCCAACCAAGCCTTTCTTTATGCCATTCATTAAAAGTCAGGTAACTGAGGTTAGTCCAGTCCAAGTTATAATAATGTTTGTTTCAACTAATTGAATATATCCTCTCCGGTGACGGTGCCATACATGTTATGTATGGAAGCCAGCCCTTGTGTTAATGACATATGTTTGTTTTACTTTGTGTATGTCTTTTTTATTCAATAGTTTACGTATTAGTCTTTGTCAAATTTGTTGATTATTTAGCTAGCGTGTTGTTTAAAAATCGAAAGGAATTTTTTTTAAATTGATGGGTATACCCGTAATTATTTTACCGATTTCAAAGAAATGAAAAATCGCCATTTAATTTTTATCCTCTAAAACTGTAAAAGTAATATCAAGGTAGGCCTACTGTTGATTTATAAAGCACCATAATTTCTATAAAATGTGTTGCACACCAAGTTAACATAATGCTTTCATACTAAATGACACCTTCATTGTTTACTTATATTACATTCTATTATTAATTAATAATTAAGAATGGATTTTAATTTTAATTAAATTTTAATTTTTTAAATTTAATTTTTAATTGTTTAACTTTCAACAATCTCGAAACAAAAGTACATTTCTTTTTTTGTTGAAACATAAACTCATACCCAGAATAGCATCTGCACTACTCAGATATTCGATCAATTAGGTTTTGACTCACTCAAGATTTCGAGACCACTGAAAAACATAATGGCATCAACTACAATTTTCCGGCAGACAAATATCCAATTGGGGCCATGCATGCCCCGTATCAATTACTTCGTTTACTATACACTTCATCCTATATGTCTTAGGTGTGTCCATAAATCGCAGTTTAGTACCTACGTCTTCATTTCTCTTAAAGGGTTAAACATTTTAAAGGTAATTAAATATCTTGATAATTTTTAAAAGGCTATTTATCTGAGTAAAAGACTCATTTTAACATTTTAAAATAATTTAGCTGTATTAATTATTATGAATTTAGAAACATTTTGTGTCCAAGTTTCAATTTATTTTAACTTTTATTTATATTGTATTATATTAAAAACATACTATAAGTTTAATTAAAAAGCACATTTTCAACCTAAAACATTAGCTAAATCAAATCTACTCTCAAAAGATGTCTAATCACTTAAGAAAACATTTAACAACCCAACTCGAGCTATTGGACGAGTCAAGTTTTCATCTACAGAGCAGCATCAGTGATTTTGTACAGCAGGTAAATAGTAATGGTTTAGTAAGCATTGATATATATTCTAGACTATATGTGATTAACTTAAGTAAACATTAAAACATACAACTATGCTATGCATTATATTTAAAATACTGCCTTGTATCATTATTTGCCATTAGTAATGTTTATATTAATTTACCATACTAATTATAAGTTTTTATAAAGGTAGTCTCGAAATGAAGACGGTTTTTGAGAGCTATTTTTAAATATAGATTTGTATTCATTAAACTTTACCCTTATATGAAACCATGTTATTTGCCATGAATGTTAAATATTCTTCAACAATCTGTGTGTAAATTTGGATATTATGAAAAATAAGTCTGAATGGAAGAACAATACATAACGAACGACAAAGACACGAGGAAATAAAAAGCAAAAAAAACAAAAACAAAAAACGTAGAACAGTTGAGCAGATAATCAATGAAAATAATTTATTATATATATATATATATATATATATATATATATATATATATATATATATATATATATATATATATAAACATAGTGTTTAGCAACTTGACGCGAAACAGGCAACATGCAAATCAAATATGAAATAGCTCTATCACGCTACCCTGCGGCTTTCCGTCAAATTCAGAAAACACGACAGACACTTTAATAAAAGAAAGTTAAACATTATCAAATTGGCAACCTCAGGCCTATTGCACATTATGCAAACTACTAACCAGTAATATACCGTCCATTAACCGTAGAAACAGAAAAGATCATTTTTGGCTATTGATGTATCCAAAGTCTGTCAGTGCAGAGAAATGCCATCAACTAACTGCTAGATGTAGCATTGTTAGGTCGAGAGAGAAAGAGGGAGAGCCCATCTTTGGACTTTTTTCCGTATGTATATACATGTAATATACCTTTAGCTAATCAAGAAGGATGATACGCCCATGATTGGAAATTAATAAATTACCCCACTGGCACTATACACATTGGTCAATGTTAATCTCTCTGTCTCCTTGAGCAGGCATTTCCTGTTGCAATGTATCCTATAACTATACCAAACAAATGCCTACGGGTGTTGTCACTTGCTGAATTTAACAAGGGATTGAGAAAAGCCGACAAAAAAGCGGAGACGACGCTGCTAAAGAATCATCTAATGCTAGGCGTCGTTATAGTTGACATTATAAAGATGAACTACATCTGGAACCATATTAAGAAAGTGATAAGGGAAAGAAGACTGGAGATCTTTGAGTTGATGGTCCATACTTCAGGAGGCAATGCTTGGAGAGGAATATGAATAATCATCCCAAAAGTAGAAACATAGATTTCGTGAATTAAAACTAGTTGTATCTTTTCAAGTATTTATATTTGAAATTTAAATCATACATTTCAAACAATACAGTTTTGTTACAGTGTAACTAGGCTAAAAAACTTATAATTAGCTTGTGTGTATAAATCGTTAATTAAAGAAAATCATGTAAAAACTAATCACAGTAGGATGCCTTCCTGGTAAATTTTTAAACATAACTTTTACATGATGTTACATTGAAAGTTCTACAACCAGTATTTTAAGGTTGACGCAAGATATTAGAAAAATCGGTATGTAATTTGGTTTTTTAAAACCCTTTCTTATAAACTGTATTGAAGAAAAATATACAATGTGTGGCGCATTGTGTTGATTTCTTTAATTGTTGGTTGATGTGATTTTTAATCGAGTGTGTCCTTTTAGATTTGTATTGAAATACTAATAATCGATATCTAACGCTTGCATTGTGAACTTTGCAAAAATAAAGTATTATATTCTAAAATAATGTAAAAAAATTAAAAATGGTATGTACACCAATGTGCGACTGATGTTCAATAATTCATTTAATTTACGCGAACATATATAATTAAAAAATAAAGGAATAGGGACTTTGGCATGGCATTGTAAGATGTAATCATCATTTATAGAGTAGGAGACATGTTTGGCTGCTGGTTAAAGGGAACAGCTAACACCACTATTTTAAACATAGTTGGTCCAACGAATGTTTATGCTAAACTATAATTTAGCTTACCTTACCCTGTTATATTATTATCACGTCTTTAACCTTCAAAATAATATATGATGTGTTATTGCTTCAAATTTTACAAATTAGGTAAGCAGTCCATTTTCCTAATGTCTGTTGGTCAACATATTTTTCTATTTGTTTAATGTAATTGTGTTTCGCGCATGGGCAAACAGTGGTACAATTGTGTGATTTTCGTGAATTGTGAGGAGTTGGTATTCGAGTATAAATGTCTCAATTCTTGTAAACTTCATTTGGGCAACGTCGTTTAGAATAAGCTGACTTTTAAAAAAAAATTCTAGCAGCCAATCATCATGCAAAACCTTCTACACTTGTCTTTATTGCATCACACGGCTACAGTGATGGGAATGACAATGTACTTAAATTCAAATCTGTAGCACGTAATGTTGTAACAGAGGCGTAGCGACCCTTCCCGGCGCCCGGGGACAAACTTTTCGATTTGCAACCCACCCTCAAACTTTCGATTTGTACCCCCCTCGAGATTTCCATTTGCACCCCCCCTCCCTCAAACTTTCGATTTGCAACCCCCCCCCCCCCTCGAGATTTCCATTTGCGTCCCCCCTCAAACTTTCGATTTGCACCTTCTCAACCTTTCAATTTATTTTTCCAACCCATTTTGGCGCCCCCTAAGGTCGGCGCCCGGGGAAATATATGTCCCCCCGCCCCCCCCCCCTCGCTACGTTACTGTGTTGTTAACCGTTTTGATCCATGCATTGGAGAGTTTACCACGCCAGTTGATGGCATGTACATAGCGAGCCTTATAATAAAACAAACATGAGATGGTAATATTGCAGCTTGGTTGATGATTAAATCTGAATGTGAGGAGTTATATGTCGGTGTTGTTATTGAAAAAGAAAAATATATTGAAGCTTCAAGAACTTTTCTACTTCAAATGAAAGCTGGGGAAGTCTTATATTCAGTCACAGAATTTCATATTTGTGAATGTAGACATTTTTCTTGTTTATTTATTGGAGTTTAATTATTATTGTTTGAAAAAACGTTTATAAAATTTAGAAATTATGAATCTCTTTCTATAAGTGCAATGTGGGGTATATTTGTCTCTTTATCACATCCATCAGATCGTGTAGCTACAAGTGAGTTTTAGATGGATTTTTTTTGCCGAACTTTGTAAATTACTCTTTTAACCCAATGCGGAAACTTTAGAAAACAAAATAATTGCGTCTGAAGTGATCGAAAAATGAATTAGAATGACCTCGGCCTTGAGTTAACTAAACAATGTTTAATATGCTTGAATTCGATCATACACTATCAGTTGCGATACGAAAATGCTATTTTGTGAGGCACTTGGAAAAATACCAGATCCTCACAAATGTTATAATAAGGTTTTGAAAATTGAACATCTCGACCGCTTCTATCTACTAATTAACCGGTGATGGTAACGATAATGGTAACGATAATGGTAACGGTGATGGATATGATGAAGATGAAGGTGATGGTGATGGCGATAGTGATGGCGAAGGTGATGGTAATGATTCTGATAATATTAATGTTAATGATAATGGCAATGAAAATGGTAATAGTAATGGCATTCGTAATGGAAAGGGTAATGATAATAAAGGTAACAGTAACGGTAACGGTAACGGAATCGGTAACGGTAACGGTAACGGTAACGGTAACGGTAACGGTAACGGTAATGGTAACGGTAATGGTGACGGTAATGGGCACTTGATAATATGTTCTAATTTCAGCCAGTAAACAAATATATTTATTTAAAGTTATGTTTGTTTTCTTGGACAAAGTGTTTGGTAAGGCAGCTAAGAAAAAAAAATGAGTTTGTGTGGGGGAGATAAAGTTGTGTATTAAAGTTGTGTGATAAACATGTCTTCCTTTGACTTTATAAAAAGGTTATTTTTTAGTAAATTTATTGACTTTTAACTAAAAGCATTAAAACATACAAATTAACGTTAGTTATAAGCAGAGGCGTAGCGACCCTTCCCGGCGCCCGGGGACAAACTTTTCGATTTGCACCCCCTCCCCCTCAAGATTTCGATTTGCACCCCCTTCAAACTTTCGATTTGCAGCACCCTCAACCTTTCAATTTATTTTTCCAACCCATTTAGGCGCCCCCTAAGCTCGGCACCCGGGGACATATGTCCCCCCGCCCCCCCCCCCCCCCTCCCCTCGCTACGCTACTGGTTATAAGCGTTCTTAATTTGTAAATGTATCCGTATAACACGATAATGGAACATATGTCCACTGTTAGTAAAATTAAAGCATTCAGTTTACTTAGGCAAACTAATGTGTAGCCTCCCTTGCTGGTTTTAAAACTTGTAACGGGGAAATAATTACTTTAGTATTTTATCGAGGGTATGTGAGTGGAGAGGGTGTGATTGTATTAAACATGAGTGCGTATGTTTCTTAATACTACACTCAAAATTTACTGATCTATCTGATACGTTTATTTCCATACGTTTTATTTTTTAGCACAGAAGAAAATTGCTCTTAATATTTTGAGGCTTCAATCTCACTCCACTTATTTCTATCACTGCCTGTCTACAATGTTACTTCTATTCCCCATATGTCACGTCAATTATCAATTTTGCTATATATGACGACTTTGGTGTGGCTGACTTTCTAGACTTATAGCTTGCACTAATTTTCTTGACCGACTAACACAACTACAGAATTTTTCTTTCGACAGACTAGATACTCCTCGTCTTGAATTCAAACAGGCCTTCACCTTTCTTACGTCTCTAGTCCCGTTACCCTGAACTTATCTTTGATCGGCTACCACTGGTCACCATGTTTCTGGTTTTGCCTATCCAAGCTATGACAGTTATGCTACATGCAATATATATCACTTGGACAGCTTTTTCTTAGCATTAAAGTTGTTTGCTTTTAAGGGGTCGGTAAAGCTTATGATTGCTAAACCGAATAGGCCTACTCTCGAGTTCGAACCTTCGGGGAATGAGGGTCGCTATGTGGGGACAACTCTTTCAAAATCAAAAAACTGCTGCCTTGCAGTTCGTTCTTGGTTTGACAAGACAGCTAATCTAAAAAGAAAAGCAGGCTGAAATCAGACATGTTGTTTTCCCTAGCTAACGGGCCTCATCTGCCCAATGTTCCGCACTCAAGACTTTTTGATTAGCTCTCCTGCTCTATCCCATTCGACCACTCAAAAAAACCAAAACATTTTCATAAACGAAATGTTGTGTGAGTATAGAAAGAAATATACATTAAAAAAACTTTTGAGCTTTACATTAAAATAATTCTGATTCATATAATTTTTACCTTATTTTAAAAAATTAAATAAAACGTATCTTATAATCTTTTTAATATGTAAGCGAAATGATGTGAGTATACACAACCACAAACCATAATACATCTATTTTTAATTTATCAGAGCATGTCATTCATTAATACATTATACATTCTAGTCGAAAACAATGTGATTATTTTTAAATAAAATGTTACCAAAGTTGAATCAAGTTTAAATAAAGACTTGCTAAATAAAGACGAAGAAATAACCTAACATTGGCCGCAAAAAAATATTTGTTACACTGTTTATTACTCCTTAAAACAATGTTTTTTTTCTGTAAATGTTATGATGTATGAATATTAGACGTCAAGAAAGGAACAAGAAAAATGTGAACATTCCAAATCCGTAAAGTCAGTGGCTGAAAATAAAACATCTCCAGTTTTCATCTTAACCTCAAACGTCCTTGAAGCTTCTACAGATTTATCTTGTGTCCAAACATTCCCGGGCCGTGACAACACACCACCAGATTTGTGATAAACACCAGCTTGTACAGCACGATATCCCGTTCGTTTTATTGTAAGACTTGCTTTATACAGGCCATCAACAGGGGCGGTAAACTCTCCAGTGTTTGGTTCAAAATGGTTTCCTACGTTACGTTCTACAGCCATGAATGTAATAACGTTGTCATATCTTTTCCCGTCCCAGCGACCTTGTGAAGCAAAAAACCCTGGTGCTGGATGTTTCACTTGTTGATTCGCTGCAAGGAATAACATTTTTAAAATATGACAATTTATTTTATCACAAGTATCTAAAGAAATTTTAAAACATGCTAAAAGAATTAAATAAATGTAAAGACATTAAATGACACTTGACTAAAACATAACTACAGAGACAACATAATCTAAGTTTACTTAAACACAAGATCATATTTTAATCTAAGTTTACCTTTTGTTTTGCACCAAATTTATGTCATTAAACATTTGCTACTATATAAAAATTACCTACCAAATACCTGAAAATCCTGTGACAACTTTAAAACATCTTTTTCCAGAGTTTCAATCTAAAAATAAAAAACTAAGTTATGATATATGTAATGAAGTCCCTAATAAAACCATTCCAAATAATAAAGTAGAACACTATCAATTCAGCTTTGTGTATGCAGAATTTATCACAAAATACAAATACACATAAAATATATAAGGGGACACTTCAACTTTTACATGGAAAGTCCGGCATCATGAGAATCAGAGTTCATCTGATTCTCATGAACTAAATGATTTTAAATAAAAACAAGTTACTAATAAATTTTACATATTGGTTAGAATACTTTTTTTTTTACACTTTAGCCTTTAATACCTTCAATATCGTACTTTGAATAACTTGTATAACAGCAATAATTCTTTTAAATGTTACAATTTGTTGTTTATGAACTTAAAACTGTCATCATTTGAGCTGTTTTCTAATGTTTACCTTAAGGCTTAATATAATGAATTTACATTGTGTCTATTTTATAATGCTTAAATGTGTATGTGAAATGTTTAAAAATAAATAAATACTTAAATATTGTGTAATTTCACCTTATTCAATTTTTCCTTGGTAGTCTCTAAGTTTCTGTTATTTGCTTGAATCATTTTGTCAATAGGCGACAATCTCTGTTGTAGAAGTTGACAAACAACACCATGCTATTGAGTAGATTTACTGTTATCATTTCACACAATTGAACACATTTTATAATTGAATTTTTTCAGGTATCTAACACAATCAAATTACTTTGTAATTACTAGAAAAATAGTTCTCATGTGATTAACATAAATAATCTACAATATCACCTTAGACAGTAATTTTTCTTGTGTTGTAGTTATCAAATCAGAATGTATTTTAATTTCTTGGGTTAAATGATCTATTTTGTCTGTGTGATTCTGGATCTCTTTGTTTATTTTGTATAAGTTTTTTTCATGGTCTTTCAAAACTAGAGACAGTTCCTCTAGTGCTTTGTTTGTTGTTGATTCTTTTTCTTCTAATTTTTCAATTACTTTGTTCATCTCTTCTATTTTGTTGTCTTGTTCATGTTGTTGTTTTTTTAAGTTTTTTAAATTCTGTTTTTGTTTCTTAGACACATTGCTAATTTTCACCGCCATTTCACTTTGTTCTGTTACAAAGTTGTCTCTCCATTGTTTTAATTCTGAGATGTCATCTTTAGTCTTTTGTTTTGTGTCTTGTAGAGAAGTTAATGCTGTTTCTATATCTTCAAGTCTTCTTATTTTTTCTGCATGAATTGAAACTTTAGATATAATGTAAAATTGAGCTGAGAAATATGATAACAATTAATGATAAAATCAAATGTTTAGCATCATTGTGATCATTATCAAGCATTCAGTTTGTATTAAAATCTTTATAATGTATATTTGTCTTCATTGGGTATTGTTTTAATTGTGTAGACTACATACAAACAAGTTTAAATTAGGGTACACAACTATTAAGTTACAAATGTATTAATGCACATTGCAATACAATTTGTCATTAGGATTTACACAAAGTTATGCACAATTTTAATAAAAAAACAAATATACCAGGTGTAGAGTCTGTTAAAATATTTTCTACTGTTGATTTTAAACTTTTACTTTTGGGTGTTATCTTATATCCTGTCATCTTTGTGGATTCTGTTAAGAAGATACAAACATGATGCACATCAGTTAACATTGAATTAAACTAACTAAAGCATTGGCAATAGTGTCACTATTTGTACACATAGTGACAGCAGTTTAAAATTGATAATTTGCTACAAAAGAAGTTCACAATAGTCAGTGTGAAGTGAAGTAGTATACAAAAGTAAAAGAAATTATAATTTGGTAAATGTTACGAAAATAATAGCTTTATAAGCTAAACAGTTAAACAAATTTAAATAAGCAAATACAAGTGTAATAAAAAAACAAAATAAAATGATCATACCCGTGAAATTGTCTGTGTATTCTAGTATTGTACTCTGTGCTGTTGCTACAACCACAACTGCGTCTTTCAATGTAATGTTGGTGTCAGAAGTATTGTGTATACATTCTATTACTCTTGTTTTAATCTGCACAACAGGAAATATTATATTTAAAGTGGTTATCTAGTTATACTATTATAAGAACAAAATACAGATAAGGCCATCTATTATTTCATCAGAACTTGTTTAATACTAAATAATTTAAAGATTGATTGTATTCAGTATTTTAAATAATTAAAAAATACATTGAGACTTGTGAATTGCCATAGGTATAACTTGTAGGCATATACTGTGATGATACTTTATTTTCTTTAAAATACAACTAATTAAAAAGACAACATTCCTAACAAAAACAAAATTTGAATATGTCTAGCCAAATTACTTGCTGTACAAAATGACTGATGCTACTCTGTAGATGAAAACTTGACTCGTCCAATAGCTCGAGCTGGGTAGTTAAATATTTCTTTAGGTGGTCAGACATCTGTGTAGAGTTTATTTAGGTAAGATTTGAAAATGTTTATTTTTTTTTTATAAATTCTGGTAAATTTATTCTTACTTTTAGTATGTTGTAAAATTACATTTGAACTCTTAAAATATAAGCCTAATAATTTACTTAAAGTTACAATTAGCATACATAAATTGCAAATTAATGAAAGGATAATTTTATATGTACACCATTTATGAAATATTATCAGTGCTAGGGTAAATCATTTGAATGTTAAACATATTATTTTTACCAACAATTAGATCTATGACCCAGCTCACCAATTGCTACTGATGCTACTAAAATAACTAATAAATGTAAACTCGCAGTTAGCAATAATACTGTAGTGAATGCCCCTATTATTATCCAATATATCAGCATAGACCTATAAAATCATGTACAATTTAGGGATTTAATTTTTATCAATTAAGTCAGTGCAGTGGCGGAACTAGAAAAAAGGTCCACCCCGCAAAAAAAAAAATGTGGGCCCCTATATATATATATATCTATATATATATATATATATATATATATATATATACATGTATATATATGTATACATGTATACATGTATATATATACATATATATATATATATATATATATATATACATATATATATATATATATATATATATATATATATACATATATATATATATATATATATATATATATATATATATGTATACATATATATATATATATATATATATATATATATATACATATATATATATATATATATATATATATATATATATATATATATATATATATATATATATATATATATATATATATATATATATATATATATATATATAAACTAAATACACTCAATACGGGCTTGTTCGAAATTTGAAAAAAATTCTATTTTTAATTCTCTGTTTCACTGTCTGACTTTGTTATGGTAATGCTTCCTAGACTACTAATCAGTCAAAAGAAAATGTAGCATGAAAGCTTTGTATGTGTAATGGTTTCTCGAATTATGTTTATTTTTATGTTTATTTTTATGTTTTTTTTTGTTTTTATATTATTAGTTTTTAATACATTTCCTTTATATACTTTGTCATTCTTTATTATGTTTTTTTAAATGCTAATTATAAGAAGTAATCACTTTTTAATTAGTTCAATGCAAAAAAAAAAAAGTTTCCCAATTAAGAGCACACTATTTGACTATTTAAAAAAGGGAAATAAGTAATGGAAGTGGTTTGAACGTTTGCCTATCTTTCACACTACAACTCATGTAGCGAATATATTTTTTTCCTTTACGAAACAGCGTGTGTTAGCTACTGTAGAACATCACTAATGTAGTAAATCTGTTTGTTTTTTTACATGAAAAAAAAATTAACTATAAAAAAAAAAATTGATTATGGTCGGCTGAGGGCCTCAACTCTGGCCCGCCCCCTCCCCCCCCCCCCCCCACCCCGAATTGCGGTGTCTGGCGGCACTGTAGTTCGGCCCCTGAGTCAGTGGTAAGGTAGACCCGAACCCTAACATTTTAGTCTATAAATTTTGAAATTGGTGGCTATTCCATATATATAGTCTATACTAGATCTAAAAATCTAGGTTAAAACTGAAAGTTTGAAGGCTAAATAGTAAATAATATAGTAAATTCAGTATATGTTAATAATACTAATATAAATATAATAATAACAAAACAAAACAGCATTAAAATTATATTAACACCGTAGATCTTATTATTGTCAAATTCAAATCAGGAGAACATTTAGAAATGTTTTAGACATTTAGACAACTTATACATACGATTGAGAGTCCTATTTACTTTTCAGATCTATGATCAGTAAGCTGAAAAAATAATATGGGGAAAATCCGATTATTCTAAAATAATGTATCATTTTACTATAACTCACGAAACAAATCTTTAGTGATGAAAATTGTTTCTTTCAGGCATTATCGGCGAAGGGGCACTTACGTGAATAAAGTGACTGGTGAAAGATAAAATGCGGACAGATACCCAAGCGTGACAATTGATACAAAAATATGTTAATGCTCCTACAGTTTGTATTATAGAAAAATATATTAATCTCACCTAATGGTCCTATAATGTGTAGACTACTAGAGAAAGGTATATGTGGATGCTCCTATAGCTTGTACTGGAATCAGTGAACTTGGTAGCGTTGGGTTGGCTAACACAGATGGGGACTTTCTTCCAGGCATCTCTTCGGGGCGGAGCCCCCCCCCCCCCCCACTCCCCCCATAGAAAGTCTACCGCCCCCTCCTCGAGCGAAATGGAATTTATATGTAAAATATATACTTTCCGCCCCAGGAAATTTAAGTCCGCCACCCGAAAATTTTTAGATTTTTTTAGTTATTTAAATAGTGATGCATTTTTATATTTTTCTTTTTTTACCGCATATTTCAAATTACCGCTTATTATTACTATCGTAGTTTTTTTACATTGAATATACAAATATAAATAACAATGTCATATCGGAGAAGTCCAATATTAGGGCTAATAACTCTGATTAAACCTAAAGTGGGCGTATACTTGAGATTGTAGTTTAATCATAAAACAATGTTTTTTTATGTATTCTATTGAAAGCTTTATCAACGTAAGTTGAATATTGCAAGTAGAATTATTTAGTTAAAAGATACTAGTGTTACTTTCAGACGTTTTTCTCCGGGGGTGGGGGACACTAGATATTTTCGGGGGGGGGGGGGGGGGGGGTAGACTTACTTTAGGGTGGGGGAGGGGTGTAAAGAAGAAACTCTGACAGCTATTACCGACGTGTTTATCTGCACCTTACAGATAGTTAGTTCAAATTTGTATTTAATAAAAGGCTTGAAACATTACTTTATGACTTTATTTACTTTTTAATTAAAAGGTGATGTGAACACAATTTAAATATGAACTTGTGATGTATTCACTATGTAAGGTATTAAATTGCTATGTGCACTAAATAAAAATAAAATACTTAAAAAAAACTTTTTAAAAAACCACGTTTTTCTTGTGGACTAAAAAGTAGAAAATAAAATTTTCTTTTGTGCTTCCTCGAGCTGTGCAGGTTCTTGTGATGACTGACAAAAAACGTGGGTACGTTCACCATCAAATTTCCCGACCCATCTGCCCGACCCACGTTTTTTGTCAGTCATCACAAGAACCTGCACAGCTCGAGGAAGCACAAAAGAAAATTTTATTTTCTACTTTTTAGTCCACAAGAAAAACGTGGTTTTTTAAAAAGTTTTTTTTAAGTATTTTATTTTCTCCTTTTTAGTCCGTTGCTACACACGATCACGGCCAGCGCACTCACAACGATTGTGGCCGAAGTAACTGGGTCAATAGGCCTCCAGTCTTGTCGGTATCTTTAGAAATCATGTCCTCAATTTTATGGTCCTTGGGGCGTAATTAAATTAAGCTAATTACGGTCACTAATTGCTAGTTTTTATGATTGCATCTGAAATTGTTAGGCGAAAGTAGCATGCATGCCAAATTTCAGGTCTATAGAGCAATCAGAAGTGGGCTAATTTTCGATGTCAATTTTAACAACAAACATCCAAACAAACAAACGCGAAGCTGAGTTAAGAAAAACGTGTTAAAAACAACCTAAAAGCTCTTAATGTGTACACAATGATTGTGTGATGTGCACAACGTGAGATTGTGATGTGTACAACGTGTACAACATGTACAATGTGAGATTGTGATGTATACACAAGGTTAAGTGTGCGCTTCAGATGTGTACGCAATATGAATTGTGTAATTGTGACGAGCGTATCGCTTATAGAAAGGCACCACCACTAGAGACATCAGATGTGTCTTATTGATACAATAGCGACACTGTCTTTGTGTGATACACGAAAGGGTCATAGAACTAACACGTTCTGGGATTTAAATCTGTTTGTATTTTACGGAACTTCTACGTTTTAGATTCATACATGTTTATACATAATACGACATTACTATCATAGCGTCCGTATTATCTAAAACAATCCTGTAGTGCAAGAGACATTGGTCATTGTTGTAAATTGATGATTAATGAGAAACCCCACCATATATGTTAATTGTAATGAAGGTTGATCCGTCTGGATATTCTCACATGCATCTAGCAACCAACCCTGGACTTTATTTATAGAACAGGCCAACGCAATTTAGAAAACTACTTTCAATGGCACGAATGTGAACATTTGTATTCGTGTTGTTAGTGGAAATTACACGTTGATTTAGTGAGAGGGTGCATTGATGAAAACGGGCAATGCTTTATTTTTTATTGAATTGTAGTAACCTTAAACCAATAAGTCGGTTTCCATACCTTTGCTTTTTGGTTCCTACCATTTTAAACACACGATGATTTCAATATGTGGAGCAGATTAGTTTTGAACCTGTGACTTTCTAGGAGAGGAGCGTCCTACCACTAGACCACTACTTCTTCTGAGGACAATGTTCTACTCTGTGTGACCTTACTGTCCCAATATCCCCCACACACCCAGCAAAGTATGTTCGTGATAACAAATAACTACATATAAGTGAACATTTCAATAATCACGAATACAAGAACTAGGTCCATGGCAACAGAAATAAAATGTACAACATTCGCGAAATCAAGAACTAGATTTATTACAACATCAATTTTAAACGTCATGTTTTTGCCAGTTTTTGTTAAGCTGCTAGGTAGGGAGGATGACAAACGATACATCAATGTAAAGTCGTCTTAAGTCGCACGATAATGTAACGCTTGCAATAACTGAGTAAAAATGCACACTGAATATTTGGATATGTTAAAAATTGCATGTAATTAAAATTGTGAAAAATAATTTAAATCTAAAGATTGGAAGGGTCAAGTTCCTTTTACAATTAAGAAGGTGATATGTGTCAACGTAAATTAATATTCATTTAATGTATTCAAACAGATGTCTGACCACCTAAAAAAACATATAACTACCCAGCTCGAGCTATTGGACGAGTCAAGTTCTCATCTACAGAATAGCATCAGTGATTTTATACAGCAGGTAGATACTCCATGTTTGTTTCAAATCATGCGTGTCTAATGTGATATATTTAACTTAACTGCTGTTATTGGTCAATCTATTGAAGCCACTTCGAATATTTTGACGATGTAGATCAAAGCAACAGCAATGGAATGTGTAGACAAGACGTCTGAGACAAATCTGACAATGAAAGATGCGATCACTATGGTAGCAGCAGCACAAAGCACATTACTAGAACAAGCAGATGTGTTGGCTGGTAGGGTCAACATTTTATCATTGATAGATGGGGGTTTATTAATGCTTTGTTGACACCTATTCAACGTTTTTTTTTTTTTTGCTTTTGTAAATTGCACTTCAAAAGCAAAGCGTGAAAGAAAATAAAACAAAATTAGCAGTATTTGATACTTAAAAAGTTGAAGTGTATGTGAAATATTCTCATAGAGTTACTTTACATTTACAAATATACAAGTGTGAATAGGCCTACATCAGAAAACCTTAACAGCTTATGATTTAATGTTGTTTTAATGTTATAAAAACTAAAATAGTTTATGCATATAACTATTTGATAGAATTCACCAAGTTGAATCTTCCAATGGTTGTTATGAGAGAAAAGACAACACCAGAAGAAGGTAAAAGTTTGAAATCATAAGTTGATAATTTAATTTTAAAAGACTAAATATATGGAACCAAATTTTCCTCTAATCAAATGTTTGCATTACCCTAAGGGTTTAAGATAAAAGTTTGAAACTATACGTATTTAATATCCAAATATGTTGGTTCTAATTATACAAATGATCAAAATAGTTAAAATGTAAATACATTAATGTATGTAATTATAAACTCTTAGAAACCTACTGTTTTTCTTCTTTGTGTCCAAAAATGGTTTATACAATTAGTAGATTGTTTAGCAGAATGTTAATTTAATTATTGTATGTTTGGTCATTCATACTTCTGTTACCCCATTTTACATAAATCTAACAGGTGTATGTAATTCTGAAACAATAAGAAGACTGCAGGATATTGAAATAACTTTAAATTCTCTACGAGACACAAAACAAAAGACTGAAGATGACATATCAGAAATAAAACAATGGAGAGATAAATTTGTAGCAGAACAAAGTACCTTTTGGATAAATATGGAAGAATTATCGAAGAATCTAAAAGATAATTTTAAAACCCAAGGGGAACAAATAATTGAGCAAGACAACAAAATAAAAGAGCTAAATCAACAAATTAACAGTTTGAAAACAAAAGAATCAGACACAGACAAAACAATGGAGAAACTGTCTCTAGATATGATAGAATATGAAAACAACCTGCACACACTAAATAAAGAGATGAGAGTTTACACAGAGAAAACAGATCATGTAACACAAGAAATTCAAAAACATTCTGATTTAATATCTGCTAAAGAGAAAGATGGATTGCAAAACAACAGACAATTACAAAACACATTAGAAGAATTATTGTCAAAGGTACAGGTCTTTTTTTTTTAAATTATTAAAATATAGGTAGTAATTTTTAAATAATTGCAACAAAGGAAAAGTATTATTGTATAAATTGAGACATTGTTCCCTTTTTAGAACACTTAGACTGTGCTCTTACGTTAAGCTTAGCTCTGTCTTCAATTATTTTACTTCTTTAATTTTCGTTGGCTTAATTTTATACTACTATTATAATTTAATATTATATATATATATATATATATATATATATATATATATATATATATATATATATATATATATATATATATACATATATAACATAAATACATATACTATGTGCTAAGTCACTTATTAAGTATTGACATTTGAAATTCTTCTATTTAGTATGTTGTGATATGTAAAATTTTACAACAAAGGTTAGTGCCTATAGACAAATTGATTGAAGTATATAATCAGAACTCAGAGGCTAGAGGAGATACGATGAAAATGGTAAGAACCAAAATTATTATTTTGTTTTTGTGAATGTTTACTTATTCCTAAATAGAGATTGTAAATTTGTACATGGTGAGATTGCCATGTTTATGTTAATTTTTAGCTCTAAATTGTTTAAGCCTACTATTGGATTTTAGCTAAATGTATATTTTAATTTAATTAATTGATAAACCTCATCACACAGCATACTATATTATTTATCATCATGTAAAGCTAAAAATTCTTTAATACTTAGTTTATGCTAATAATATAAAAATGAAGTAATAAGTAAAACGTCAGAAATGCAGTAGAATCTTTTCAATTCAGAGCCTTCTACGCAAAGTTTAATTTACTCTTACATAGAAAAAAAATATCTGATTAAGTAACTTATAATATTTACTTAGATTGATGCTCTTCAAATCGACTTTTTTAAGTTGAGACAGGATTTTCAGAAAATTGGTAGGTAATTTTTCTAAAATATTTACTATTAATATTTGTTAACAAATTAAGTATTTTCTGAAGTTTTGTTCGCTGCGTAAATGAATAGTTAGTGTTTCAACATGTAGATTAATTTGTGTAAAAAATGTTACTATTATTTATTAATTGATTAAACAAAATCAGTTATTAATTATGACCGTGTTTGAGTTTGAATATGAGTCTAAGTGATTGTGTGTATGTATGAGTGTGAGTAAGTGTGTGTATTTGTATGTGTGAGTGAGTGAGTGTGTGTATGTATGAGTGTGATTTTTATTGTTAGGGTTAGATTGAGTGAGTATGAGTACAATGGTATAAATAGGGATTCGTTGTTTAAGGATACGTTTTTGTTCAGGAAAGGATGCTAGATAGGAAGCTATATATGTGTAAATAAGCAATTGTTTAAGGAATAATATTAAATTCTAATTTGGTGTAATTACGCTGCATGTTAATTGACAGAAGGTAAATGAGTTAGGGTCCAGTGATCGCACCAAGAGGGGTAGGGTGTATAATGTCCAAGACGTGGGTAAATACTGCCCAACTTTTGTTTATTTTGTAGACTGAATGTCTATTTATTAAATTTTTTAGAGTTAAAACAAGATATTTTTATTATTGTGTATCACATTTATTTTATTTAGTTTTTTTTACAATGGATTGTGTATAGTGTATTGTGTGCCTGCAGTGTTATATTCAGTTTCTCCAGGGGCCCATATATATATATAATATATTGCCCAACGATTTTTTTGCGGAGTGGCCCTTTTTTTATTTCCGCCGTGGTATGTTATACTTTCTTATATTTCTTTGATTTGTTGTGTTAATTAATTACTTAAATTGTTAGCTTTACAATTGTTCTTATATAGGTGTAAAGCTATTCAATATTACATTATATAATTCAGTTAATTTTTATTTAAATATTTTAATTGCATTACACGGTGTTATTGTTCGCTGGAGAAAATGTAGGTAAAAAGGGCTTTATGTATACTGATGTAACAACGATGCTTGTGATATTAAAAACTCCATCATATGAGTGTATCGAACTGCGATATCGAAGTGTATGTTACACTCACGTAATATCACGTCTAAGTCTTGGCCTACGTATTACTGGTTTAAACGTAGCGTTATACATTGCTCCTTTTAAAAATACATATATTCTACATATTTCAGTTGTCATTTGAATTTAGAAATGGCTATAACTGGCTGAAGCAGAACCTAGCCGAAACCGCCAGAGTGCAATGTTTAAAAATAAAGTAACTTCGCTGCACAACAGTAAAACGATGTGACTTAAAATCATTGCTTTATAGAGTTTAATGACAATTTGATTCTTCAGACTTCATAAATGAAACAAATCTGTTTGCATTTATTAAATTCAATATAATGTGTTTAAATATGTTAATAGGCAGAATTAAGTCTATTGTTTTTATTTTCAGTAGCCAATCAACAAGTGAAACAACCAATGCCTGGATTTATTGCTTCAAACGGTCGCTGTGACGCGGTAGACAACTTGAATTACAAAGTAATTACATTCGAATCCGTGGAACGTGACATGGGAAACAATTTCAATCCAGCTACTGGAGAGTTTACCGCCCCTGTTGATGGCCTTTATGTAGCAAAATTTACAATTCAACAGGAAGGATTTCGCTCAGTAGGAGCTTTGCTGAAGCACAAATTTAGTACTGTCGGTGATGTGCATACAAATAGTCAGTATGCTAAATCATCAGGACGATTTAATGTTAGAATGAAGAGTGGAGATGTGTTATACTTAAACACCTATAGTGTTGACTGTATATGTACACATTTTTCATGTTTCTTTCAAAGCGAGTAATACTTGGACCGTTTTGAACAAAGTAACTAGCTAGTTATTTATGTTTTATAATTATCTTTAGAACTGTAATGGTCTCGTGGTTTTTTTAGAACTTTTATATGTAATATTTAAAAGTTTAGCAACTTGAGCTTCATTGTTTTGAAAAAGAAAGTTTGTCAATATTTTACTTTGCGACATATTTACTTTCTATGTGTTTGAACAATAAGTTTTACAGTTGTTTTTAGAAATACTCATAGACTAAATTTAAACGTAGGGTTATTTTTTTTTAATACAAAGTATAATTATTGTTATAATTTGTTTACAATGTTATTATTAAACAAGATATTGGAACATCCTAATTTTAAATTCCTTACTGTAATACGTTTGCAAATATTGGATAACCTTTGTATTACTTCACCATAAAGATTACACAGCTGTTCACCCGGTGCTCCAGAGTTATGTCTTGAACTTGTTAGCTGCTGCCACCTGGGCCTGTTGGTTCAGATCCTCTATCTTAGCCTCACCAACCCTCGGGCAGATGAGGCTCGTTAGCTGGGGACAGCCACTCTTCTAGGAGAGGCAACTCCAAAATTAAACAACTGCTGCCTTGTAGTTTGTTTTTGGTTGGACAAAGGCTATGGAAGCAAATCCAAAAAGAAAAGCAGGCTGAAATCGGAGTCAATGGCCTCAATGGCGCATAACCAGTTGACACGTAACGCTTAATTGTGTTGGAGGCGTGGGCGAGTCGGCAAAAAGCTCATGGTTGATAAATTCGAACAAAGTCTCGAGTTCAACCCCACTAGCAGATAAATCTCGATCCCCTTCAACACTAATAATTAAGAACTAAGAAGAAGAAGAAAGAAGCCTCATCAAATACTATGTATGTAACAGATGCAGGACTTTTGTAACATCTGGCCGACTTATCACAAATAAAATATTTTTTGCCTTTCTGATAGTTACCCTCGTCACAGTAGGTACAGGCTTAAGATCACGTTTAGACATGGCTTTTATTGCTTTCTTCTCACTACGACTCTGCTTGGCCTTGGATACTAACTCCTCTGATAGGCCTGCTGCAGTTGCAACCTGCCTCTGTTGCTGCATCATGTTCTTCCAGTTCTGGTGGAGTGTCATCATCATCTGAATCAGCAGATGCAGTATCTTCAGCAGGTTTGCTTTCCTCTAAAGGCTTCTCTGCTGCGTTGACAGGCACTATTTGATATTTTCAATTCAGTTATTTACACTAAAAGTTGGTCGGCCATTAATCGGAAAAACTAAAATATTTTGTCAGTTTTGGTAACTACCCAACACTTTGAAAAGCAATACATTTGGCATTTCTTTTTTTAAGCCCTCTCATAACCAATAGGGCCCAAATAATCGAATATGTGCATTAAAATATATTTAACAAAAAGATATTTTAACTTAAAAAAATTTCCCTCCACACAATAATCTTGACATATAATCACAATAAAAATAAAACCAATATAATGAAAAAATAGTTAGACTTTCTTAATGATCAAAATAAAACCAATGTAATAAAAAATAATTAGATTGTCTCCCATTCAAACAGGGAAAAACTACAAAGAAAAAGTGCCCGTAACGAAAATCAATGAATTATGTCGTAATTTTTTTCTTGCTTTTTCAACAACGAGAAAACCAGCAAGTTAAAACCAGCTAAGTTAAAGTGGATGTTCTAATTGATTAGAAATAAATTAACTAGTATTAGGGTGTGATTCCTTCTAGATTTTTCTCATTAAAGTTTGATTAATTTAAATAGATAAAGAAATATTTTTAAAATAACTATAAAGAAATGTTTGTAGAGTCCATCTGTTTTAATAGCCTCAGCATACAAATAGGTAGTGTCGTCAGAAAACTGCTCAGCCGTCTTCGTTTTCCTAACTTAAGTCAGCTACTTATTATAGCTGGGTGAAGTCAGAGTTCGATAAAGCTTGGTAATTTAAAATCAGATCATTGGACAGAAAACCATTTTGATAAACACGTATTAACCATTGCGTACTCCACAGCACCAAATTTACCAATATAATTCCTTATGAACTCGGCACGGAGTAAATGACGTTTATATGCTCCGCCTATGTATTACGGTTTTTCTTTCTGTTTTAACTCTACTGCACAAATGAGCGCAAACGCTAATGATCTTCAACTATATGTGAAGAGTACGGGATCAATGTAATTTCCGTGCAATTAATGAAGACTTAAAGAAAAGGCTTTATTACACACTATTTATTGATGGTGTACGTAATAAAACATTATTTGTACAACACTTTCAAATACAAGTCAAAACACAGTATCTGTTTTCTCTTAGTGTTGCCGCAGTTTAATGTTCTCTTTAAATGACGTCACTAATCTAATATTCCCTAACTGTACCTTGGTCCCCGCATTCACAGTTCTATCGTCCAGACTCAACTGATTTGATAGAGTTTATTCCTCAACACACCTGATTACAAAAGGTGCCATGTAACCTAATTTGCTGTCGGGACCAATTAGTGTTTCGTCCTGGTAGTCGCCATTCTGTCCTCTAGACGCTCACCCCATGTCTAATACCAGCCCAAGCGACTACACCTAACCCATTGTTATAGTCTTCTGTAATTGTCATCTAATTATTCAAAGCGTCATTAGTCCATTGTCTCCGTTTGTTTCTCTGTTCAGTCTCGTCTGACGTTTTGTTAACCCTATCTGCACAATGCACATCATCATCGTGGGTGCACAACCACATGTTATGACACACAATAGTCATACCTTTTTCGAGTCGTCAGATAGTGGTCATACATCTGTCAAATCGTCACACACGATTGTCATACATCTGTCATGTGGTCACTCACGATAGTCATACATCTGTCATGTAGTCACACACGATAGTCATACATCTGTCAGGTGGTCATATACGATAGTCATACATCTGTCAGGTGGTCATATACGATAGTCATACATCTGTCATGTGGTCACTCACGATAGTCATACATCTGTCATGTGGTCACTCACGATAGTCATACATCTGTCATGTTGTCACTCACGATAATCATACATCTGTCATGTGGTCACTCACGATAATCATACATCTGTCATGTGGTCACTCATGATAGTCATTCATCTGTCATGTGGTCACTCACGATAGTCATACATCTGTCATGTGGTCACTCACGATGCTAGTCATACATCTGTCATGTGGTCACTCACGATAATCATACATCTGTCATGTGGTCACTCACGATAATCATACATCTGTCATGTGGTCACTCATGATAGTCATTCATCTGTCATGTGGTCACTCACGATAGTCATACATCTGTCATGTGGTCACTCACGATGCTAGTCATACATCTGTCATGTGGTCACTCACGATAGTCATACATCTGTCATGTGGTCACACACGATAGTCATACATTTGTCATATGGTCACACACGATAGTCATACATCTGTCAAGTGGTCACACACGATAGTCATACATCTGTCATGTGGTCACTCACGATAGTCATACATTTGTCATATGGTCACACACGATAGTCATACATCTGTCATGTGGTCACACACGATAGTCATACATCTGTCAGGTGTCACTCACGATAGTCATACATCTGTCATGCCACTCACGATAGTCATACATCTGTCATGCCACTCACGATAGTCATACATCTGTCATGCCACTCACGATAGTCATACATCTGTCATGCCACTCACGATAGTCATACATCTGTCATGTGGTCACACACGATAGTCATAAACAGTGTTTCTTCCGGGGGGGCACTTGAAATTTTCGCGGGGGGCGGTAGACTTTCTTCGGGGGGGCGGACACTGTTAAAAGTATGTATTTTCTATATAATTTATATAAATTTCATTTCGTTCGGGGGGGCGGTAAAAAATTTTCGGGGGGGCTTAGCCCCCCCGAAGAGATGCCTGGAAGAAACTCTGGTCATACATCTGTCATGGGGTTCACACACGATAGTCATACATCTGTCATGTGGACTTAAAAGGTACACTAATTAATACAATTCATTATTATTAAGGAAGTAGGCCTATAGTTGATGGTAGTCATAATTTCAAAATTAAATCCCCTCTCCTTGTATAACCAGTTTGTGATTGTCTAAAAATGGAAACGAAAGGATTTTTTTAAAGGGAAAACCCGTTGTTACTTGTATTACAATGAAACAACGATAGAAAACGTCGAAGTTTTGATGTAAGAAGGCTTTGTAAGCAGTAGAAGTGAAATACGTTTGTTAAGGTAAATTTTGATTAATCTAAAATATAATTCAGATATTACATAACAGACAATACACAATATTGTATTTTAATCCAGGCATATATCATAATCATCAAACAAAATGGCATAAATTGGTAAAACTTGAAATCGAAACAGGAACTAGAAATGTCTTTACAGTCACTTCGTGATGCACTTTCTAAGAAAACAGCATTCAGCTCTTTATGAGTGTCGCTGTATGTATTTACGAAAATCACACATTTATCGAGGTAAAATGTTACTCATTTAAATCAAATCTAAATTGCACATAATATGTGTATAGTATGTGTATGGCCGTCTAGCTCTGTTTACATTTTTGAGAACATTCAAACATCTGGAGCTTGCAATATGTTTTAGAAAATTTTCTTTTGTCTAGGGAAGTTTCTTAGAACAAATAATATAGTGTATACATAACAATAGCTCACTTGGACAATTTTTGTGGGTGCCTCCACACAAGCTGTTTTAACATACTATAGCCTACGTATGGGGGTTAGAAACCAGACTGATTATAAAATCAATTTCTGTAAACTGAAACATATTAAAATTTTAAAGATTTAAAGCCTACAGCATTTTACAATTAAGAAAAATTACTGTGGGTCTCTAGAATATGTTATCAGCGTTGAAATAAAAATATACCAGTGCTAAGAGTTTAATTTTTAATTAAATTTACACAGATGTCAGACCAATTAAAGAAACATTTGACTACACAGCTCGAGCTATTGGACCAGGCAAGTTTTCATCTACAGAGTAGCATCAGTGATTTTGTACAGCAGGTAAATACGAATTGTTTTTTTAGGAATGATGTGTAATTTTAATGGGATATTTTTACTCAAACAGTCAAATCCAGCATTTATTGACATGTTTTACGTCACATTGTTATATTTTTAAAAATCACTTTCAATCACATTAATTTGTATAGTCTTAATATAAATAAAACTTAAACAATTATGTGTTAAACCCATTTCCAATCCTTAAAACTTGTTAAAGGCTTAGCATACAACACAACAGTTTTAAACCAACATTATTTTTACTACATAGTGATGTAACAGTACAGGTCCCCATTTAATAATGTGTTATTACTTGCGCAGATAAAAACCAGAGCCAATGAATGTGTAGACAATATGACTGGCTCTAGTAAAACAGTGAGAGATGCAATCACTATGGTAACAACTGCACAAAGTACAATACTAGAACACACTGACATGTTCAGTGGTATGGTCATAGTTTTTTCCTATTAAACGTAGAATACCTTTAATAACAATTCAAAACAGTTTAGCTTTTAAAATGATGATATTTTTTGTAATTGATATAAGAGATTCATAATGTTTTACTTAAATAAGATTGATAACAAATATTTTATGAATTAAAACCTATTAATATGCACCCATCTGACAACAACCTCTTCACCTCATAAATTAGTTTATCATGAACTGATGTAATGTCTGTGTACATCTTGTTGACAGAATCCACCAAGCTGTCCCCTCCCACAGTGATGACACTAGAAAAGACAACACCAGACATTCAAGACATGAAAGCTCCAATATCTGGTATTTTATTAATCAAAATTTACACTCATTAAAGCATATCATACAGAATACATGAGAAATCTATTAAATAATTGCAACCAGTATATGTAAGAATATTTTAAAAAAGCTTTGGCAAAATCAACAATATTACAATAACAATGTAAGAAAAGAAAAAAATTGTAGTAATTTTGTATGTGTGTTTTTGCTTTTAAAATATTTAATGAATGCTATGTAACAGATAGAGTTTGATTTTGTTTAACTAATATTTAAGTAACAATGTTTATTCTTGTATCCCAACATTTTGTGTTAAATTTTTGTTTGTTTGTTTAATATTGTTTATTTTAGTAGTTGAATATTATCCAGAAACATCAAGAAGACTAAATGATTTTGAAACAACCTTATCATCCCTTCAAGACACAAAACAAAAGACTGAAGATGACATGTCAGAAATAAAACAATGGAGAGACAACTTTGTAACAGAATACAGTGATATGGGGATTAAAGTTGAAAAGTTGTCTAAGAAACAAAAACAGAATTTAAAAGACTTAAGAAAACAAATTAATGAACAAGATAATAAAATAGAACAGTTGATTCAACAAATTGACAGTTTAAAAACAAAAGAACCAGAAAAAGACAAAAGACTAGAAAAACTGTCTCTAGATATGAAAGAATATGAAAACAACCTGCACACACTAAATAAAGAGATGAGAGTTTACACAGATAAAACAGATGATGTAACACAAGAAATTAAAAGACATTCTCAATGGATATCTGCTATACAAGAAGATACAACAAAAACCTTTGATATATTATTGTCTAAGGTACATTTTTAATACTATTTAGATCAATGCATTCAGTTAGTCCTATTAGTGGCTGTATGGAAATTCTATTTTTACTGTCTATACATAGTTATGAGTTATAACACATTTGTAGCATTAAACTAAATTTTGTTTTTACACATACACCAGTGTGGCTCTTCAGCCTCTAATGGCTTTGGTCTGCTGTTCAATATTCTCCAGTATAGAAATATGTTTATTTTGTTTTCCACAACTGATGTCTGTACTATTGTATATATGTCTCTACCATCTGCCCATCAAAATCTAGGTCTGACTGCTGGTTATTTAAAATTGTGTTGGTTAAACACTTCCATAGATACTTTTTACTTGTATTAAAAATCACATAACCACTCTTTACTAGCATTTTAAATAACATAATCACGATTGTATTCGTTGTATTATTTCTGGCAAAATTGTACGTATTTAAATCAACCTTTTGTCAACACATCTATTAGTAATAACCTTTTACATTTATTCCCTTTAGAATGTTGTGATGTGTAAACTTCTACAACAAAGATTGATGTCAATTGACAAAATGATTGAAACATATAATCAAAACTCTGAGAATAGGAAAGGGAAAATAAAGAAGGTAAACTAACCTCATATGTTTTTAGTCAAACACCATATAACTTGGGGGGCATAATAATATACCTCATACAATTATAATCAAGTGCTCATTTAATTTATCTTAATATTTTTATTGCACTTGTTTCAAGTTGTGGCAGAAAATTTCAATATAAAATAAAATAATTTAATTTTTTTAGTAATATATTTAAAATGTTTGTAAGTTTTAGTTTCCCCATATCTTATTGTTGTCACCTGTGTTTATTGTCTTGAATTTGCCAACTTTAAAAAAAGTTTGAAGGATTGAGATTCTCTTCTTTTTTTTGATGTTCATACTCTATTACACATGATGTATTTCTGTAACTGTTTTTCTTTATTTAGATTGAAACTCTAGAAAAAGAAGTTTTTAGGTTGTCGCATGATCTTCAAGCAATTGGTGGGTTATTTTTTTTTCAATCTAAATATACAATATAATCATTAATTGCTAATTGAAATTGTTTTCTAGTTTACCAGAAAACACTATGTTAATGTTAATGTGTTTTATTGTTTCTATGAGTTGTTAATATAAATTTGTCTAAATGGTGTAACTTAAAGCTTTTGCTTTAAAGTAATTTTATTATCATATAAACATCTTGATACACTGCGAATATTTCCTCATTATGTATTATGTTATTATTAAACATATTTAAAAAATACGTTTAGATCTTTATTTGTTTAAGGATTTTATTTCTCAAGATAATTGTCTACAACTATATACTCTGTATTTTAACAGCCCACATAAAACGGTGGTCAAACAAATGTTAGTAAATAGTACGAGAGTGATAAAATAAAAGTAGTCTTCCATTTTGGGCTGAGCCTACCCTTTTATTGACCTCGACCAACTGAACAATTGATTGGTCCATAATGTGTATGATTTGGTGTCTTGTTTGGATTACTTATAACTATAATTAATATACAAATGTAATGCTTAATTTTTACTTAGAAATGTACTTGAAAATATTATTTTCTTGAACTTATATATGTATGTCTAAAAGCTGCGTCGCTTGATTTGGCGTAGTACTAATGTAAACAAATGGTCTAAGTACAACCAACATCTTTTTAAAAAAAAATTAGATTTAGTTTACATTGTAAAACTTTTTATGTAATGTGTAGCTACTTTTTGTATTTTATTTCTTTCAGCCGTTCAACAAGTGAAACCTTCTAAACTGGGGTTCATTGCTTCACAAGGTCGCTGGGAAGGGAAACAGTATATGGGAAGCCCAGTTATTGCATTTAAAGCTGTTCAACGTAACGTAGGAAACCATTTTGATCCAAACACTGGGGTGTTTACCGCCCCTGTTGCTGGCCTGTATAAAGCAAGTCTTACAATAAAACAAACAGGAGATAATGCTGTGGGAGCTGCTGTTGTGCGCCATTCTGGTGATGTGCCGTCACGGCTTGGTGATGTTTTGACAAAAAATAAATCTGTAGAAGCTTCAGACACATTTATGGTTCTCATGAAAACTGGAGATATTTTATTTTCAATCACTGGCTATGTTGATTGTTATTGTACACATTTTTCCTGTTCTCTTCTGTCAGACTAATTTTCACACTTCATGACACAACATTTATAAGCAAAATCAATATAATTTTAAAAAAAAATATCAACAAGTTTTATAGATTTTTGCATTAAATAAAGATATAGAGAAGAATATTTTGTAACATATTTTTTTATTAATATTCATTACAAGATATTTCAAACACATTTACACTAATACAATTAAAGATAATAAATGTTTTGAAATATTTTTTTAAAACTAAAACTAGAATGCTTTTGTTGTAGCCAGAATGACTGAAACTCGCTGAGTAAAAAATGTTTTGTCTCTCATTAGTATCAGTCTTTCTCAATATCGTTATAAGAGTTACAGCCTTATCAATCTTCAGAATTGTGTTATCTACCTTGATTTATTTTCTAATGCCAGTTTCAACAGATGTAATGCGGGTCATGATAATACTTAAGGTCCTTTATTAAGATACATAAAAATTAAACATTAGCCAGGCAAGCAGCACACAACTGACAAGTCTAAGGAAAATCTAATGTCTACCACGACAGCCGCCCCACTCCCCACACACACTAACTGAAGACATTAGAGTAGATCAGCCAGTACATAATACACCATGGAAGATGACGATTTAGATAACGTCTTGGTGAAGGAAAAAGAAAGGACAAATAATAATCAGACTGGACTAATTCCATAAACAAATTCATTGAAAAATGTAGACAGTTAAAAGGGAGACAAGAATTAACAATATTATTTTCATAAGTATTTTTAGGTAACTTCCTCTTGTTCTTCTAAAATTCACTATAGTAGTAGACCCACCATACAGATTATTCCTAGTGAAATCGTCTGTGCTGACTCCCATTTAACATTAATGAAAGTTACCGCATAATGAGCGCCAGAATAAATTATCTCCTCTATTTATTAAATTATGTTTCTGGGTGTCTTGTAGAAAACTCCCTTCTTTCATCCTCTTGTTATGAAAGCCAGGCTTTGTCGTTAAAGTATACCATAAGGTTATATGTTTTATTCCAACGTCTAGGAACAACTTGATTGTTTTTCTTACTTCAAAGATATGATTTACAGCAAGTCACTTCGACAGCCAGACTGATACACTGTAGAAAAAAATGAAGAACCATGTGACCATAATCCTTTTTTTCACACCCGATGTAGTGTTGTAGAAAAGTGAAACAATCTCTTTAGCAAGGACATACGGTGAATCATGCAGTGCATTCCCCTTGATGGCTATTTTAAATTTTAGAAAGCCAGATTAGAAGCCCCCCCCCCAAATTTTTACCGCCCACCCCCGAACGAAATGAAATTTATATAATTTATAAAGAAAATATATACTTTTAACAGTGTCCGCCCCCCCCCCCCCCCCCCCCGAAGAAATTCTACCGCCCCCCCCCCCCCCCCGAAACTTTCAAGAGAAAAAAGTCTGGAAGAAACACTGAAGCTTAGATAGTGCTCTATTGTTACAAAACCCACATTCGCTTTCCCACTTTGATTCTCCAGTTTCTAATACAATATTAGGCATGATTTATTTACTTGTTGTATTACTTGTTGTAATACTGGAACTATTTTCGGTATCATCTAAAATCTAAATAAATATATTTCATTCAGACAAGCATCTGGAAACACACGTTTTAGGCTGTTGATTAGAATAGTGAACAATTTTAAAATCTTAATAACTTACAAACTCTGCTCTTTAAAGTTTCCGTCATGTCTGATATACACCGCAGAAGAATTGTTAGAGAGGGGTATCTGTTATAGATTTAGTTTCCTGTGACTCAGATATCAACCTGGGGTGAACAGTTCGCTTTGAAAAAAAAGATAGCGAGATATGTGGAGAGACTGTTATAGCAGATAGTAAAACTATTCTACAGATAAAAGACAACCAAACTATGTGAAACAATGTGTCGTTGTGATGCAATATATATTTTTAAGTTTCAAGTAACTCAAATATATTCTTTTGGTCCAAGCACACAAAAATAATAATTTAAAAAAAAAATGGCACCATCTGGAGCCATAAAAAATCATTCGTCAGATGTAACAAAAGCGTTCTAAACAAATATATGTTTAAGTTACCTAAGGAGGGATGTAACAGAATAAGCCAATTATTATAAAGGACAATGTTGTTACCATAATTACAAAACACTAAACGGACAGGCACTTTTAGTATTACCATGAACTGCATTATAGTTTAAAAAATAAATAAATCAAGGTGGGCAACTAAATTCTGACCATTGATTAGGCGATAACTCTTTAATACGATACATAAACAGGCTGATACAAGGGATATCAGGGACAAAACATTTATTATTCAGCACCTTATATACACATCGGCATTTAGTATAAAAATTTGTTATAGTTTAAGTATCTCACGACCACGTGTAGCAAATATATGAGCTATTATGTAGCTGTTGTAGTGAACATGAACTAAACAAAAGTAAAATGGAGAAAATGTTGCTCTACCTAATCTAGGTTTGCTTGAAGAACGAAAATTGTTTAATTGTTCCTTTCTGTAGAAAAATAAATTGAAATTCATTATATAATACCCAACAGTTTAGAAAACAGATTTTTAAACATGAGAAGCATTGTATTATTTTTTTTTAAAATACGTTATGATACAAAATTGTTTTAATGAAAATTTGGAATAAAGATAAACACATCGTCACAAGCGGGTTTCTTTTTAGTGAATTTACAGACACGACGTTGTGTCTCAAAGACTGATTACATGAGCGTAATTTCTAAAGATTACATATACCTTCATGATTAAAAAGTAACACAAGAGCTCTGTTTCTTATTTGTTCATTACTAAAATAACTATAATTGAGGCCATGGATACAATCAATGAAACCCGATGTTCTCAACCAATACGCGAACCGAGGCACATGACGTTTAGTAGGTAAAATAATGTTTTTGACTGGCAAGTAACACTACATCACGTGCAGGATAACAGCTCCCAATAATAAAACTACAGTGGCTATTAACAATGGGTGGCGTGGTCTAATGCTAGAGCGCTTGGCTGCTAGGCCGAAGGTCTCCAGTTTGTATCTCAGTTCGGACTTGTTATGGCAGTACGTCCCTAAATCCACAAATCTCTTATGAGCACCTAACTTGTGTTGTGGAAAGTATGGCGTCTTGGCATAGTGCTTATCACTATCCCTACATGCGATGTCAAGACTCAACTTGATCTAACAATAGGGATCGCCAGGTCTATGAGAAATTTTTACTTACAGCACGTATTAACATAAACGATTAGTAATAAGTAATAACTATTTCCCATGTTCATTAGTCTCATCGAGAGTCTCGACCGTAAAGTAAAATTAGTAAAGTAGTCCGATGACACTGACACGTGATAATTCAATGCACGTAGTTCACGACCTGTAATAAAATACTTAAAAAAAACTTTTTAAAAAACCACGTTTTTCTTGTGGACTAAAAAGTAGAAAATAACTATTTACATACATTTGATGACAAAAAACGTGGGTACGTTCACCATCAAATTTCCCGACCCATCTGCCCGACCCACGTTTTTTGTCATCAAATGTATGTAAATAGTTATTTTCTACTTTTTAGTCCACAAGAAAAACGTGGTTTTTTAAAAAGTTTTTTTTAAGTATTTTATTTTCTCCTTTTTAGTCCGTTGCTACACATGAAAAACGTGGTTTTTAAAAAAGTTTTTTATATAGTTTATTTTCTACTTTATCTAATGACTTGATTAAGTATGAATTGACTAAGTGTTTATAAATACACGGACTAAAAATATCTTGAGCGACCAGGATTCGAACCTGGGTTGTCGCGGCCACAACGCGAAGTACTAACCACTATACGATCACGGCCAGCGCGCTCACATCGATTGGGGCCGAAGTAACTGTGTCAATAAGCCTCCAGTCGTGTCGGTATCTTTAGAAATCATGTCCTCAATTTTATGGTCCTTTGGGCGTAATTAAATTAAGCTAATTACGGTCTCTAATTGCTAGTTTTTATGATTGCATCTGAAATTGTTAGGCGAAAGTAGCCTGCATGCCAAATTTCAGAACTATAGAACAATCAGAAGTGGGCTAATTTTCGATGTCAATTTTAACAACAAACACACAAACGCAAAGCTGAGTTAATAATAAAAAATACTTAAAAAAAACTTTTAAAAAAAACACGTTTTTCTTGTGGACTAAAAAGTAGAAAATAAATTCTTTTGTGCTTCCTCGAGCTGTGCAGGTTCTTGTGATGACTGACAAAAAACGTGGGTACGTTCACCATCAAATTTCCCGACCCATCTGCCCGACCCACGTTTTTTGTGTAATAATCAGACTGGACTAATTCCATAAACAAATTCATTGAAAAATGTAGACAGTTAAAAGGGAGACAAGAATTAACAATATTATTTTCATAAGTATTTTTAGGTAACTTCCTCTTGTTCTTCTAAAATTCACTATAGTAGTAGACCCACCATACAGATTATTTCTACCGAAATCGTCTGTGCTGACTCTCATTTAACATTAATAAAAGTTACCGCATTATGAGCGCCAGAGTAAATTTTCTCCTCTATTTATTAAATTATGTTTCTGGGTGTCTTGTAGAAAACTCCCTTCTTTCATCCTCTTGTTATGAAAGCCAGGCTTTGTCGTTAAAGTATACCATAAGGTTATATGTTTTATTCCAACGTCTAGGAACAACTTGATTGTTTTTCTTACTTCAAAGATATGATTTACAGCAAGTCACTTCGACAGCCAGACTGATACACTGTAGAAAAAAATGAAGAACCATGTGACCATAATCCTTTTTTTCACACCCGATGTAGTGTTGTAGAAAAGTGAAACAATCTCTTTAGCAAGGACATACGGTGAATCATGCAGTGCAATCCCCTTGATGGCTATTTTAAATTTTAGAAAGCCAGATTAGAAGCCCCCCCCCCCCAAATTTTTACCGCCCACCCCCGAACGAAATGAAATTTATATAATTTATAAAGAAAATATATACTTTTAACAGTGTCCGCCCCCCCCCCCCCCCGAAGAAATTCTACCGCCCCCCCCCCCCCCCGA